GCGAAAGAAGACATTTATTAGTAACGAAAAAATAATATTGCACGCCTAATTATCCTGGCGTCTCACCTAGGATGTGGTTGCCTGTATTATACTTAATTAAGTTATGGCGATGGTATCTTCATTCAAAATAATTTGGTCAATTACGGTTATGAAAATACTGACGATAACAAAAAAGAATAAGAAAATGCTCAATTTCGATTTTACACTGTCAGTTTGCCAGTTTTTCCATGATAGTAAAAAGCAAATTTCAACTATAGAATCTTAAATATAATAGATTAAAAAACTTTTTAAATGTCTAAGGTGCATATATAAATATACATAATGTGTGAGTCGTCGAATACTTTGACCATTCTTCAATTTTTTTATAGGTATGTAAATAAAATTATTTAAATATTAAAAATTTTAAATAGCGCAATATTACACACTATCGACATTATTACGTATTTGAATTTCTCGTACTATATTATTATCAAAAGACAATTTTAAATTGTTATTTAAATGTATAGACATATTAAGCTTTTATAAAATGTAAAAATAATATTTTACCTATACAATTTATTAAAAAAATATCTTTATTTTAACATTTATAACAATAAAATTTATATGAATATGAATATAAGATATATTTATGATATTTGCATACCTCTGATACAAGTTATAAATATTTATGTGATCAAACTAAAACTTGAAAGTCAATAACATAATAATTTTAATAGCAAATAATAATGAAAAGTTCATCGTATAATATGCAGATAACCACTTTCATTGGTAAGACGACAGTATCTAATGGTTGTGCGCTGTTAAAAAGCCATGCAGTTGACTCGAATAAAAAACAATTGCAATAAAAGATAAAGCTTTTTTTTTTTATTTAATTAATAAAACTAAAAAATAATATAAATATTTCAATGAATAAAATGATTATATTTTCACGTGAATTTATATATAAATGTATTAATTGTAATTATTCAGAAGTAGTTATTAAGACGAAGAATTGCTATTTTATTAAATTACATGTAATAAAGTAAGAAACATTTACTATTTTTATTCCTATTTAATATTGTTTTGAGTCAACCACGTTTTATGCTTAAAATACGTCACATAGTCGAGAAAGGTATTCAGTAACTTTCTATTATATTTATAGTGCAAACATTGTTTTTAATGAATTTGTATTTATTACTAAATAATTAATTTAATACATCGTAAATGTATAATAGAAAAGTGTTTAAACCTTTCCCAACGTGCAATAGATTAACAGTTTAGAGATAATATATCAATCGATTAATAACTATCTAAATTTCTATTTAAAATTTATAATTTATACTTTGTCATTTAAACTAATTAATTAAATAAATTTTATTAATATATATGAATAAATATGAATTAAATAAATACCTTTTCATGTTACAATATGGTAAATAAATATTTCTTAAAAAAGTGAATTTTAGATATTAATTTATATATAAAATTTAGGTTAAAGCGCTCAGCGAATTACAATAATGATTGAAATTATGAATATTTAAAAATATCTTTAATAACTATGTTAAGATGTCTTTCAGAGAATATAAAGTTTAATAAAATCTATATAAAAACAAAAAAAAAAAAAGAAAAAAAAATGAAAAGAATGTTTTACTTTAAATCATATTTATTACAAAATAGTTTCATCTCATTGTAAGACATTTTATTTATAACTTCGTGATTAATCCGTAAATTTTGAAAATTTATTACAGTCTACTTAAAAAGTTCGAGACATCAAAAAATTAGGGATTTATTATTTTAAATAATTTTGTTTGTAATTTATACTGTACATGATATAAATATTGTTATTTGTTGTATTTGTTATTTGCTGTTATTTTACCACTTATCATTTTACAGAATAATCGATAGTCAATAGAATATATTTAAAAAATACAATAAAAAAATTATATAGCTTTAAAAGTTAATACTTAAATAAATATTTATTCATTCAAAAGTATGAATCTATAGATAAATTATTTGCCATTTCAATCGAATTCTTTATAAATTTTGAAAATCATAAAATTTAGCATCATTTTCTTGATGAAGTTTTTAAACTGTAATAACAATGAATAGAGAAGATTATAAAAAATAATTATGAATAAAATTTGTTGCTTAGTATACGTATTTAATATAAAATTTAATATGGAAATTCAATGGCACAATGATACATTATCAAAATAATATAATCTTAAATTGTCTCTGATATTAATATATTTTTTAACAAGAAAAAAGGATGGGACCGTTGAATAAAGAGATATTTGAAAAGGCAAATAGTGAGATGACACTTTACTCCTAAAGTATGTATATATTTTCTGAATTATTCCAATACTAATACTCTTAATGAAGAAAATATATAGTACGCATGTTCACGCACATTTAACATGATAGTATCCATATATAAAATATAGATGTTGTCTAAGAATATGATTTCTTCATGCTGTAAAAATTATATTATGCAATAATCGGCTAACGCTAATCATCATCTTATTTAAAAACCTTTAAATTAAACCTTTAAATTGTCTATTAATATTAATGGTTCTAGCAGTAATTAAAGCTATCAGTTTGATTAAAATGTTGTCATAATTTAATTCACAAAATTATACATTTTTATTACATCAATATATTATTTAATACTGTCACTAAATATATTTTAGATAAAATTTTAATAAAATTTATAAAATGTAAATGTTGATTTATAATATTAAATTAAAACTTGTTATTTCCAATGTTATTTTATAATAAACTTTGCCTACGATGTTTATAAATATGTAATGTACAATGAAATACGCCAGCGATAATATTACTTTATTGTTCAATATACTTATCTAAATGTACAAGACTTAATGCACATTATAATCTTCTCATCGCAGTGTATGTTTTAGTTAAGAATATTGAAGCAAATTTAGATGAGAAGATGCGAAAAGGATAGTAAAGCATCTTTAAAGTATTATTGATTTAATTTAATATTATGAAAAAGATAATTAAAAAATAAATCAATATTTAAATGTATACATACATTTCTATATATATATATATTTATATATTTCTACTATGGGTATTAATTATGTTTTTAAACTTAGTAGGTCAACAATTTTTCGAAAATTTAAAACATTAAAATCAATAAGAAAGGCCTTTTCAACATTTGTCTTTAGAATTAAACATAAATCAATGCTTTATGTTATATTACAAAAATTCTTGTAGAGAAAAATAGTATATAAGTTAAAAAAATATAACGATATAGCCACTTAATAATATCAATATTATTTTTGTATGAATCAAAATGAGAGGTAAGAGTATGAATAAAATATTCATAGTAGTACTGAATATAATAATATATATTAATAGTCACTTAAGCATATATATGTTCAGATGCGTATAAAATGAATTAATTCGTTAGTCCTGAATATGTCTCGAACTCATCAGGTGGACTATAATAAGTGTTACTTTATCTCGAATATTTATAAATCTAATAGACGACATTTGATAATTTATAGTAATTTGAAGTAAAAAAAAAAAATTATAATATCACACTTATATTATTAATTATATATTTATATCTAAGAGTATTGTTAAAAAGTAATACTTCTCACTAATAAATACTGAGCGCTATCACCTCAATTCTTTGAATATATCTCTCAATATGTAAATAGAGAAAAATTAGTTAATAAAAAAAATTTTCATTTTTAAATAAATGAAATATAATTATTCACGTATCACGAATATGCATGCATTTTTCTGAAAGAGAACAAATAACATCGCAAAAAATTTACTTTACCTAAGAAGATACTCAATAAATACGTACATTATATATTCTATCGTTGAAAGCACAATCATGAACAAAAAACTACTCACTAAATAATTAAGAAACGAGCTTTAAAAATTAATTAAGCTCTAATATTTCTATTGTTCCATTGCTAATTATATTATTATTATTATGTAGTTATTAAATAATAAATACTTGACAAACGTTATTTGTAGACTAGAAAGATTTTTCGCTCTACATTACTTCCGAAGAATAATCACAAAACGACATTTTGTAGCCTATACATGAATTAACGCATCAAAATCAAAATTCAAATAAATAAACCCATTGGAATAATAGTAATAAAAAAAATAATAATAATAATGAATAGTACTAGTGATGCAATGTAAAACGATAAACAAAAATCATTTGAAATTCAAATTTGTTATTTAATTGGATTGTTTAAAAAGAAGTTGTGCATATATATGAGCAAACCATGTTTTTTTTTTTAATAGGATATAGAGGGAAATATGAGTGCCGATTGGTTAACCATTCACATTAAATAATAATGACCTATCAAATTTACTGTAATTTAATTAATATTACATTATTGCATAATGTGCATATCATATTATCATATTATCATATTATCATATTATCATATTATATATATATATATATATATATATATATATATATATATATATATATATATGTATATGATACTCGATACACGCGAAGCAAAATTTAACTCTAAAATGTAGAATAAATATTTTTACGCAATTAGTTGTAGAATTTAAAGCATTATCTATAATTTTTATACGTAACAAAGCAATATCTTTTGCAATCATTAAAGTAGAATAATTGTTTTAAAGAAAACTTATCGCACAAATGATCATATTTTATTAGAAACAAAAATTATTATAAATTCCTGCCTGGTGAAACAATGTTTTTAATTATTTTTAGTTTTGGATAATAAATTCGTTTGAAAATAATATAATTTTTACAAACTCCTTAGGAGTTAAAACCACTAACTATATATTTAAATATATTTTTCTCTAAATACGGAAAATAAAAACATAAAAATCAATTAAAACTTTATTAAAAAAATATAAAACTTTAAATAATAATATATACAGTGTTTAACATTAAAAGCAAAGTACACAGACTCAATCTCATCATACAAAACCTAACTAATCAACGTCTAATAATAAATAAGAGATGAATATATTTAATTACTTACATATTGGTGATACATAGTTACTCGGGAATGCTCCAGTCATTCCGTTCAATTCCCCTCGCCACCATGAATCTTCAATCTTCGAATGAACGACAATAACATCTCCTTTTTCGAAACTAATTTCATCTTTATGTTGCGCTTTATAAGGATACAGTGCCATTACTTTTTCTGTCGAATAAATGTTTATATTAATAATATAATAATAATGCAATCAAAAAAAATTTTTTATTTATTTATTTATTAAATAAGTGTCTAGTAATATTGCAGTAGATTATTTTGATGAAGAAATTTTTAAAGATTTTATGTAGTATGAGCGTATCTATCTTTATCATTTATCTATTTAAATTTTATAAATTTTCGCAAATTTACTAAGATAATATATAAATAGCATAGAATATATCTGTTTACGAGTATGTGATCTGTTTTAGGATAAAGTTAAAGCATAGGTGACCTAAATTCGCCATAAAGTTCATCGATTATAAAATTATAAAATTGAGATTACGTATAAAACAATATTAATTAAAGCAATACGAACCGACGAATGGATCAGAAGTTGGCGAATCTTGATAGCTGTGAGAGACAGGAGTACTGCGATTGCTACTGCTAGTAAATGGTTTTACATACGAAGCTGGAAACCATCCGATTTGTCTTTTTTTTCCTCGAGCCTGCCAATCAAATATAAATGATTATAAAATTGTTTAGAAACGTAAAAATAAAACTATATCGATTATAGTTATAATAACCTGCAGTTCACCCTCCCACCATCCAGAATCAGTCTTTTTACGAATCATTATCAGCTGACCTTTTTGCAAATCGAGTTGCTCGACACTCGTCGCTTTATAAGATACAATAACTTGAGCGATCCCAAGCTTACGTCCTCTCTAAATATAAATTTAATCAATGAAAATTTAGAATATAAAAATTTGAATAATATTCTTTATAATTAATTCTAATATAACACTGCTAAATGATGAACTATCAAGCTTATAAATAATGTATGATTATTATTTGATATATTTCTTGCTTCTATAACAGTTACCTTTGTGTACTGTATTGCAGTAGAGAAGGACCAACAACAATTATCGATGATTCGATAATGCGGCGACGGAGAAGTATACCAAATTTGAATATCGAATGAGCATACGAAAAAAAAGCAATTTACATTTATATATTAGAAAAGAAAAAAATGAATGCATCATAAAGTACAATCTTTACAATCTAAATTAAATCTAAATTAAATCTAAATTAATGTAAGAACAAGGCGTGGACATTACCTGTTGAGCAGACATAGCTGCAAAGTCTGGTATTTCAGCTCCATCCTCGGCCTCGGCCCTTTCCTCCTCAAGCTGCTCCGCTGTTTTCTCTTCCTGCTTTTTGTTAAATATATTGTTAAACAATATTGTTTTTGTTAAACAATATATTGTAATATTGTGATTTAACATTGTTATTTATATTGTTATAATTTAATATAATTTCGGTTAAAATTTTGAATTAAATAAATAACATTAATTCGATGATAAAGATAATAATAATTTACATAATTAGCAGTTAGCATATGGTAATTTAAAAACAATTTAGAAATTGAAATAGATAGCATTTATAATAAATTATTTATTTTAATATTAATACGCACTGGTTTCTCCTGTGGTTTCATTTCTGTTTCAGGCATATCTTTTATTTGATCTTGTTCGTTTTCAAGTTCTAATGAGGCTTGAGTAGTCTTCTATATAAAATTAATATTACACACATATGAGAAACACGAAATTCAAACGTCACGTACAATTACATCTAAAAAAATCACACTAAAAACTGTAATGTATTCTACATTACTTTTTTTGCAAGTGAATTTTTTTAATTATTTATTTTAAACAATTAAAATGTAAAATGTTAAAATGCAACATGTTAAATTCCTTCGATGTAATTGAGATTATTAAATTTTTCTAAAAATCATATTGTTAAAAAATATGAAATATGATTTTATAAACACGTTATTTGAAAATTAACATAATTATTTAAATGCAATGAAAAGATATTAAAGCTTATTATATTGATAATGTTAAAAAATAAATTGAACGTATAAAAATTAGAAGATACTTTATTATTATATCATATTATGCTATATGATATAAATGATCAATTTACCTGATCCGGTATGTCGTACTTCTCGACGTAATTTGATGGGAAAATGCCAGTTTTACTGCCAATAGCTCCTGTCCACCAATCGCCATCTTTTTTGGTGACTAGAATAACTTCGCCTTGATTAAAATTGAGATCACCTGCTTCATTAGATGCGTACTGATACAATGACATATAATACTCGTTAAGACTATCTATTGGAGGAGTTATTGTGTTTTGTCCATTCATGGTTTCGATTTTCACATAAGATTTCGGAAACCAACCAACATGCCCTACACTTGATTCTCCGTAACACCAAACACTCTAGAATTAAAAACGTAAATGAAATTATTAATAAGTTATATGTTATACATATAATTAATAAACTACGGATTAATAAATTACCTGCTGTTCTTTAATTGTAACGATTTCTCCTTTGCCGAACGAAAGGTGTTGTTCAATTGTAGGTCGGTATGGATAAAGAGTTGTTGCTGAAATATTGCACAGCTGTCCTTCGCCTAATTTAGGTGTAACTGGCTCAACGAACGGACCTTCGCCCACTGCAGATCCTGCATCGGATACATTTTCAGGAACTTCCGCTATTTCTCTAGAAAATTCAATAGATTGTAAAAATTTCTTATTCATAAAACGCTCGTTTCTTTTATAAAGAATATATAAATAAAAAAAAAACGAAATAAAACTCACTCCAGCATTCGTTTTTCAATACTATCTTGATGTGTAAAGCCATGAGCAGAAATGCTTGTATTAGAGCTCATGTCAATAGGCTTAACGTATGACTCTGGAAACCAGCCTGTATGACCATCAATCTCTCCAGCTAGCCATCCAGGCTCTTCATTCTGAACTGGTGGTACCTAAATGTTAAATCAAAGACGTTGCATGGATAATGAAAGACTGTAGGAATCTGCATAATAATATAATATAATAAATTAATTCTTTATAAAGTCATATATAAAAATGTTGTTGAATATAATTTTATGAATGTAAATTTTAATTTAATTAAATAGCCGAATTTCATCCAAATAACATAGATAAAATCATAAGCCAATAATTCATCGATTCATTAAACTGACAATAATAATATCTCCAGGACGAAATGATATCTCATCTTGATTCCTTGCAACGAATTCATAGACAGCTCTGTACGTCTTCACTTCACTCGGATTTTCTTCGTTGACTGTAGCTGTTGTCGCTACTGTATTATCCGTAGGCCATGCATCGACGTCAACTTCGGTAGTATCAGAAGTACCCCAAGCTTCGTCTCCCCAAGCCGAATTTGAAAAACCACTCTCGTTTGCATTTTGACGCATTTCCAAAATCTTTGCCTTCTTCTCCTCAAACTTTTCATTCAATTCCTGGTAGTTTGTCAACATCGTTGTCATTTGACTTTGAAGTTCCTCTAATTTTGATAAATGATAAATAATAAATTTATAATTATTATTAAAATAATTTCATGAAATAAAAGAAGATAGATAAGACTATGATATAAATAATTTTTGATTTGTATTTTTATATAAATAATTTTTTTTAATATTCGAAAAATAGAATATATTTTAGATAATTTTAATCGGTACAGTAAGCAAATATAATTTAAAACTATTGTAAAATATTTCAACTCATTCGCATTTATAATTGTAATATTATACACAATACTGAAACATATATACAGAATATATATTTACCCAATTGATTATTGCTATTCTCAACTTCTTTCTCTTTTTCCGTGATCTCTTCTTCAAGATCCACTATTTTATCTTTCATTTGTTTCAAAGCAATTTGTTTATTAGCAAAAGCCAATTTTTGAGCCTCTTGACCGACGTTATCTTGCGCCGTGTTTGATTTCGTTTTCGCTTCGATTCTTGCCTTCTCTTGATTGCAAACAAGCAACCGCTGATTTTGATCACGTAATTTATTTTTTAAAGTTGACATCTCTTGCAGCTGTTGATCTCTAGTAGTTCGCATTCCATCGATTGTCGTCTTTACACTCGATACACCGACACGCGTATCACAAATCTTTTGAGATAATTCTTTCACTTTGTCGTTCTAAAAAAAAAGGAAACAATAACATTTCCCTCTTAATTAATAATTAACATTTTCAAATCTTCATTTACATTTCATTTACATACAAATTAATTTGTCTTGTATTCGTCATAATAAAAGTAAAATATAAAAACAAATTTTTAAAAGTAATGATTTTCCTATTATCAAAAAGCTATTCTGTAATTGCATGTTTTCCATTCATTTTTAATAAATTATATATATATATATATATATATATATTGTTTAATGATAAAAAACAGTATATTTTTATTTATAATTATATTAGTATTAAATATCATTACGCGCAAGATTATATATAGAAATATATTACCAATAAACCAAGTTCGATGGTTAATGATTGGTTTTTTGCTTTAAGTTTTAAAAGAATATCCTGTTCCTTCTGTCGCTGAGCTTGTAATTCTTGCGACTTTTGCTTCTCCCATTCTAATTGACGTTGTCTTTCCATCTCTCTAAAAATTAATATAGTTATTTTATTAAGAAAACCAAATTTTTTTTAATGCATTACAAATTTGAAAATGTTTTATCTCCTTACTTTCTTGCTGCTTCTCTTTGCTCTTGAACGCGTTTTCGCTGTTCTTCTTTCTCTTCTTCGATTTCTTTTTGTCTCATCATTTGTTGTTCTAATTCTGCTTGACGACGTCTCTCTTGTTCCAATCTGTACATATAATACAATGTATTTGAAATATTATTAATCATTATATTAAAAATAAATCTTGATCAAACCTTATCTTTTCTCGTTTTTCACTCTCTTCTCTTTCCTTTCGTTCTCGTTCCTCTTGTTCTTTTCGTTGAACTTCTAATAAAGCCTTTCGTCTTCTTTCTAATTCTGCCTGACCTTTATCGAAATTTTCTTTCCGTTTATCCTCAAAGGAAGTCTTAGCAAAATATGTAAAAAGTTAAAAATACTGAAGGATAATATGTAAAAAAAAAAAGAAAAAAAAAAAAGAAATGCTTTATAAACTAATAAATTGACTTATTTGTAGATAATTTATCATAATTTTCACTCAAGTTATATGTATTTATTTATTTAATAAATAGGTAAATATATTCTTTGAAAAAATTAAATGTCATACCTGTGGCATACCAGCAAGTGGGTCTACATTGTCCGGGATGCCTTGGGAAGAAACAGAACTCTGCCTTTGACGTCTAAATGTTGGTGGAATAAGTTCTAAAGGAAGAGCTGTTGGAATAATTTCGCCGGTTTTCGCTATGTCGCACAAATGCATCGCTAGCACAAATTCTTCGCAACCTAATCGACCATCCGAATCCATGTCTGACAAGGCCCTAGTAATAATTACGTAAAATTTAATTAACATATATATATATATATATTTAATATACATAACATAATGTATATTTCAATGATTAACCAATGAGTTAATTGGCGTTAACTGAAAAATAATTAATTACCATATACGTGCAAGTATAGCCTGGGGTAGCTGCGACTGAACCATAATATTTCTAGCTTGAGGACCAGATAAGAAGCCAGACCTGGTTTTGTCCGATGTATTAAAGATTTGAGTATATTTTAATTTTGTTTGATGGGGTACAGCCCATTCAATAACTTGTGGCGAGCTAACGGAATGTTGACTGTGTTGAGAGTCTATGGAACCTACTCGATCTATACTTGGAGGCCTGGCTGTTGTGCTTAAAGGTGTATTCGTTGATACTGGAGTATGTATAATACTGCCGTTAAGAGCAACATTATTTTGAGGTATCGGGGTTACAGGTGGTGTTACAGTCTGTGGAATTACTGATGTTCCTATCATACCATTTCCTGACAAAATAATTATAAAATAAATAATTAGTAAAATTAGTGCAGCGGAAAATGTTATAATATAAACATGTTACAAGTATAAAGTGAACTATTATGATTTTAACAACAATAACAATAACAATAACAACAGCGTCAACAGCAACAGCAACAACAATTACGATGATTATAATGAAAACTTGAACACTGTCATGTCGCAATTTATATGTTTACATGTTTTATAAAGTAATAAATTATATTTATTGCCACAATAATAATAAATTTCATGTAAAAATTGTATTATACAAAAAAAAAACAATGCATAGTACGGTAGTTGCATATTTATAAATACTGATTATTATGTCAAATATTTTACATATTAAGCGTTAAATTAATATAATAATAGGCTTTGTTCGCATATTCATGAAAGGATTTAACGTCGTAAATGTCAGGAAATTATACGTAATGATAATATGTTATATCCAAATTGTATATCTATATCATTTACGTTATCAACACTTATTGGCTTTTATTTAAAGTACTTTTTATTTTTTATATTAAAGGTATGTTTAAATTACCTGTTGCTACTGATACAATAGGAGACACTGATGTATTACCAGTGGGTAATGGAGGTATTATGCCCGTTGCCATAGCTTGCATTGGTACTGCCTGACCAATGGTAAAAGCGGTTGTTGGTACTGGTGCGGTGTTTAAAGGAGCGATAGGTGCTACCGGTGCAACTGAAGGCATACCTATCAAAAAACATTAATATTAAATATTTATTTTCATTTATTACTATTATTAAAACTCAAAAAATAATAAAACTTTATAGAATAAAATTTTATGGAAGCTTTGAAAATATAAAAATAAAGGAGTGTATTGGTCACGTTTATTGCACGCACACACACATTACAGAACGGAACAGCTCCTTTCTCTATGTTAATAGGAATGAAATGGAAAAACTTAATGTGAATATAAAAGGGCAATGGTGTATGAATTAAAAGAATTGTAATGAATGCCAATTAATAAATTGCATGTAAATATGTTGACTGTAATCGTAAAACGTCACAACATGAATAACAAAAATAAATACTGAGTAAGCATTAAACAAAATAATAAATCTTAAAGCTCAAATTTTATATTATAAGATTATACTATTTGTGTTCAGCAAATATTATGTACCTTCCGACATTAAAAGATCGAATAAATCTGTAAAGAAAAAGGCAATGATGAATAAACTACGTTGGCTGCTTCGTACGAATTATAGTTTAAAATATAATAGGTATGAAATTAATAAATGTAAAATAATTTATTCTTTAGTCATTAACTTAAAACGGTCATTTAAAAACATCTATTTGTAATAATAATAATTGAAATAAATCCTCTCGGCATTGCAAATAACTTGCCTGCGTTAGATGGTGAGGATGTCAGCGGCTGGACCATTTGAATAGGAGGAACCGTTGGTGGTGATACGATAGGCTTAGCCGGCGACGCAACTGCAACTGGACTGCTAGGAAAGGATGGCGGTTGAGGTTTAGGTGGTGCACCACCGGTTGTAGATACAAATCCAGCCCCTATTTGTAAATCATCGTGGTAAAAGTTGTTCAATAATAAATAAAGCGACAAATATAGCATGTAATAAGAAAGAAAATTAAATATAATTAAAGATATATAAATAATAATGAGAAGCAGTGTTTTGATCATTACAAAACTTCACTTAATATGTAAACTTTTCAACTGCATATTTTACACATCAAATATCTTAAACAGTTTAGCTAGTATTGATATTTATAAAAATAATATGCATAGGTTTCAAATAAAGTAGTAAAATCTAAACTCTTTATTTAATAATCATCTATTATTTCATTGCAAACATACTCACGCGCTAACCCGCACTCATGTAGTTCATACATATACAAAGACACATTTACAAAAACTAATATTAAGCAATCGAAATTCTAAAAATTAGGCAAATTTAATAATGTATATATATAATACAACTTTAATATTTAATATAATTTTAAAGCAGCATTAATAAGTTAATAAATAAAATATAAGTATTTGGTTTACGATGAAGAAAATTAAGAAATGAAACATTACTTGTTTAGGGACAAATTTGTCAGACATACAAAATCAAGTTACTTTGTTACTACGAGTAAGAATTTGCTGAAAAAACAAAATTTTATCTTTCATATCTTTTTTAATGAAAACTTTAACTGCTAATAAAAATTAATTTATGAAATCTAAAAAGTCATTAAAATTGAAGGAAAGCACTATAGATTAATAAGAAGAAAATAATTAATATCTTTATCATTGTACATCATATGTTTGTGGTTAAAATTGTTTGAATCCAAATACGATAAAAAAAATTTTTTTTTTCTAAAAAAAGTATCGATATTTTTAAATTAACTTTTCTTCCATCCATTACATATATATATATATACATTTTTTTATTTTTTTTACATCATCTATAAAATTCCATCGTTACCGTACCAAGACGCTCTGACAACTATGAAACATACCGATACTGTCAGGAGGTGTAGGTCTTTGCGGAGTAGCACCACTTTCAATCTTAGCAGTGGCATCTCCTTAGTGCAGCACAAAAAACATAGCATTGAAAAAATCGCAAAAGCGTTAAGGAATAAAATAGATGTGAATCACGTAATTGTCGTACTTTATGGAAAATAATTAATAGATAAAATAATCGAAATGTTAGAAACGACATTCCTATATATTGATTAACGAATATCGTTGCTAATGTCCAGCTTTTACTTCAACTTTTTGATAGATATTACTCATGTAAACATAACGAATGCATTTTATCAATATTGGTATTAAAAAATTATCGCGATTTGTGTAAATAATGATAATGATTAGAAAAGTTTAGTAAAAATGGATTAGAAGCTTATAAATCAATAGGCTAAAGTATGTTTTAAAACCAAAAAGCAGTAAGCATCTTTATTTTAAAAATTGCGTTTACTCATTGCTTACTTTTTGTATAAAAATTAATTAATAAATAGCTTAAATATAAAAAAAAAACATAATTAATTCATTATAAAAAACACGCATTAAAAAATAATTACATATTAATTCAACTATATTCATTCGTAATATATATATATATATATATATATATATATATATATACATATTAAGTTCTATAATGAATGCAACAAATTTAAGAAGCATATATAATATATATAATTATTAAAATCGGCCATTTCTATTATATATATATATATATATATATATATATATATCGATATAGCGTTTCAATATTTAAATATATTTTTTGTCAAAATTTATAAGAAAGCCTATAAATGGATTCTGATATCTGAATTATGACTTTTAATAGGATTCCAATTAATATTTTCTGGAACCTAAAAGTAAACTTTCGACTTGTAAATTTGAAAAAGCCGACAAAAATTTTATTTTGGTATATATTATTTTATTAGTGAATAATTCATAAATTTACTTTTATTAAAAATTTGTTTAATATATAACTGTGTAAAATTAATTGAAATTAAAACTTATTGAAAGTTAAGATTTAAATTACTAATATAAGCTTATTAACAACGAGATTAAAAAATAAAAGATATAATAAAAGGAAATTTACAATTAGTTAATCATGTACAATTTTACATACATTTTGTTACTACCTTATTAAATAAATTAATTCGTTATTAGTTGGGCGATGGATTAATATTTAAGTATTACAAAAGACTTCTTAGAATTTTATTAAAGTATTGCTTAAAAATCTCATGTATTCGTAATTCATTAAAAGAACCTACACAAAGCTAAATTAATTTGCAATATTGTGCTTCTGACTTACTGACCTAATTTATAAGTAATTTTAATTTAATTAATAATTAACTAATAATTATTTATGATAAATTGACACAAAAAATATGTTTAAATAATACATTATTATTTTCTTATGGGTTCAATCGAATGTACTAATTAAAGATATCAAAGTATAAAATAAAAAATTATTCCATTTAATTCGGAAATAAAAATCATTATTCCCTGTCATTTTAGATAATTTATACAATGTACTGAACATATCTAGAAAATTGCTCTGATCGTAACTAATTCAATTAGCTCAATATTTTAAATCATCTATAAAAATCTTGAAATTAGTCAAATTGGATCAAAATATTAATAAAATTCCTTATATGCTTATAAAATCTAATTCTCTTATTTATTAATAGGAACTAGTTAAATTATTACAATTATATCCCAATTTCTTAAAAATTTTAACCAAACTATTTATTTGCACATCGTACACTAAACTCAAATTCTGTAGATTAAAAAATAAATAATATTTTTTGTATAATTAGAAATCACAAATTGCAATATTATAATGAATTACAAATGTTTTTTTTTAATAAAACTTTTCTTGTACTCCAGCATCTGAAAAAATATAATTTCGTAACTTTAAATTGTGTGGACAATATTTACTTCTTGTGTAAAAAAAAAAAAGCTGTTCTGATAGATGATAAAGCTGCTTTTTAATCTATAAAACGAAGCTTAAACTATAGCCAAACTAATGATGAATTAAGATAATCTGATTTATAATAATCTGAATTCGTTTTGAAATAATGATCACGTGTATGAAATTCTTACCTAATTTTTTATCTTTGTCAAAATAATGATAAATAAAATTTTGTCCTGCAGCACAAGTATTCTTATTGTAATAACTAAATTTAGGAAACTATATTCAATATACAACTGTAAACTACAACTCAAACATATGTGGTATGATCAATAAATGACTTCATGAATTTCTACAAAATAAACATAAATTTCGAATGAAGCACAGTCATATAATAAAGATAACAATAATTACATAAAATATCTAAATATATGTATATATCAAACTTTAAAAACAAAAAACAAAAAAATAAACAAAAAAAAACAGCATAGGCAACGCACGAAAGACAAACAATGACATAAAAGCTTCTTGTAAGAAGGTATTGATTATATGAAAGTAAATATTTAGTCGTAAGATGTATTATATAAAACTATAGAAAAAATTTTAATAGCATTAAACGGCTAAAGTATTAATTAGATGAAGCAGGCAATTCGACAATCAATTGCAAAGGGACAGCAACGTACCGACGTTGTAAGGTGGTGGTCGAGCAGGAGGCTTTGATGGTGTGTGAATCGTGGTACGTGTATTCGCAGCTACAGATTCTCTACATTGTTGTGATGCTGTGTTTTATATGTATATATATATATATATATATATATATATATATATATATATATATATATATATATATATAATATGCAATGTATATATATTTTTAAATTCATCTTTTCAATAAAGCATGATTAAGTATTTGTTAATACGCAAGCAATTTTTATAAGCTTTTAATTCTTAGAGTATTAAAATATATTCCTTTTCTTACATATACTTATGTACCGTAGGTTATATATTAATTTAAAAATAAAATACCAAATGTTATAAAGTGATCGTTAATAAAATACCTTTGTTTTTATTTTTATCAAAAAAAGTATAGAAAATGAATATATAAAAATGTTATGCGTATGTAGTAAAAAATGTTTAAAATTAAAAAGTAGATATAAGTATTTTATAAAACCATTTTACAAAAGAAAGCAAATTGACAGTTTTGAAATTTTGAAAATAAATATTATAATATTTAATAATTTTATGATAATAATAAAACTCTTTTATAATTTTAATTTCTGCTAATAATGTCTAAACATTCAGCAATTTTTAATGTAATTGATTGCAATGAATAATGAATCTATTGCACCAAAATAATGTGTCGTTTATTTTATTTGAGTTAATTTTTTTTCTTTACTATATTCAACATTCAAATTTTTATTATTATTATTATTTCTACCTATGTTAAATATTAGGTTAAATATAAATTTCAATTAAGTGCATGTTAAATATCTCACAACTAAACAGGATAATTTTAATTACATTCTTCTTTTCTTGTTCCATATTAAAATTGTATATTCTTTTATTCAAAAACCAAAAGGACAACTTACCAATTGGCATTGTCATGGGTGGAACAATTGGTGGTCCAATTTTAGGAATGATTGTTGATGGAGATGCTACAGGTCGTGGAACACTAGTTACATTTGGAATTGGAGAAACTGCTGCTGGTGCTTGTGAGACGGCTGCTGGTACTTGTGAAACGGCTGCAGGACTTGTGGCAATGCCTTGACTTGCTATATTCATGACATTTAATAGGATATCTAATAATTTTATATGTATATTTATAAAACATGATTAACGCTTTAAATAAATTGCATATGTTAGAATTTGCATTAAATCATAAATAATTTTATACAAAGGTTAACAAATGTAGCATTATTTTATAAATGTAAATGATACGTAACAGGAAATTTTATATCATATAAATATAATATTGTAATATAAAAAATATTGAAATTACTTAAATAACTGTAATTATGTTTGGATTTGGAATCGTAATACACAAAGGTAAATCTTTTAGAAACTTTTGAACATCTACTTTATTTAAAGCATAGTAATTTTATTTATATAAAGCTCTCATTCGTACCAATAAAGGAAATTTTTACGAAGGAAAATTATTGTTTCTACAGTTTCATTAAAGATAAAAAAAAATGAAAATTTACCGCCAGTTAAAGTCTGTAAACTTCTAATCAATGATAGTGGTAATGAACATGGTACTTCAAAACCTCGTAATTTCAAGTTTATAAGCTTACACGCGATGCTGAATTCATTAATATTCATTTTTCCATCTGAATCTGTATCTGATAATCCCCTAAAAAAGAATGAAAAATATTTTGTATTATAATTGAGCATATTTCACAGTTAAGCGTCGTACAACAGTAATATAGAAGATAGTAAAAATTCACAATAACATTATCAAAGTATTTTAAAAAAAATATAACATCATAAGCTACAATTTTTACCATATTTGTCCGAGTACGATAGGAGGAAGCTGTGATTGAAGGAAAAAGTCTTTTGCTTGTACTCCAGTGATGACTCCATTTACAGGTTTGAGTGAATCAAATTGATGCTGATATCGAATTCGCTCGTTTATTTGAATAACCCACGGGTCTGCACCTAAATGAAATATGGTTCATTACTTAAAATATTAATTAAAATCATATTACAAAAATAATGCATTATGAGAAATAGCTCTATAAAAATATATTTAGTTAAAAATAATACAAATTTGATGAATTATAATTTAAATAAAAAAATATACATTATATTATGTTTTAACAAATACTTATGCTTATGCGGAATTTTATACATGTATTTGTAATATGTTAAAAAAAATATGTTACTACATATCATTTACTTAATATTAAATAAAAAAATTCAATAGAATTATTATAATAAATGATTGATTACATCTTCACAATCAAAGTGGTGAAAGTATGAGAGTACAAAATGCATGAATGAAAATATATTTGAAAATGAAAGATTCAATCGGCTATATCATAATTTACTATATGGTAATTAAAATACAAGAAACTTTCTTACTGTGCATTAAATGTATCAATTAGAAACCTAAATAGCAACAGCCTAAAATCTTAGTCATAATCTCACAAGTCATGAAATTAATATGATGAAAAATAATAAGACTACTAATCAAATCTTATTAAGTTAACTTCTAATGATTATACATCTAACGATCCTTACTATGTGAACCAAGTTCATCAACCCTTGGTACTCACCAGGAGTTATGGGACTGGTCATCCTGACACGGTTGGCTTAACTAACGTCCGCAAGGGCGACTGTAAGCCGCCAATAGTCTTATCCACCGAGACAGCTCGACACTCTCTTTCGTATCCTCTTCAAAAAGGACGTAAGCTTGATGGTTGCATTTTTTGTCTAACTCCTTCAAGGTTAGTCCCACTAACTGTCGCGATCGATCCTTCTTGATTCTCTCTCCCTCTTGCTCTCACTCTCGCGCGCATGCATACACATGCACACGAGCACACATGCGCATTAGCACGCACGAAAGCACGTACGCACGCTCGCTCACGCTCTCTCTCTCTCTCTCTCTCTCTCTCTCTCTCTCTCTTTCTCTATTGCGATACGCTGGTGGCGGACGACTGGATAGTGCAAAAACCCAGACGTCGGCTGCTCCGAACTGAGATTACCGCCGTGAGGGCTCGTCCTCGCAGTCGAGTACACTCCTAGAAAATAGAGCAATAGAATACATAATAGAGACGCCGGGATAATTGGAATTCAGTGCTTATACGCGTGTGTGAATTTATTGGAAGCCGCGAGCATAGAAAACACCGACACCCCGCGCATGCAACCCCTTCACGCACGCACGCACGCACGCAAACAAGCAAACATCACAACATAACGCCTTTAAACACTCACAGACACACCCGCTTCAACATTGGAGCACTAACAATATTACGAACTTTAATGAAAATGTAAGTCGTCGCAATCATAATTTTTATATACTAACAGTCGAGAATAGCTCGTTCGATGAATACATTGGAAATCAATAACAACACTTGATTGATTAGAGCAATCGTCTATTAAACGTCAGTGTATGAGGGGCACACGAACACACGCGCGCGAACTCGTATACGGTCTCTATAAAAAAGGGAAAGAAAAGAGATGAAAACAGGTGCCCCTTTAACACTGACAGAACCATTAAAGTGGCTCGAGCAGTATGCGAGCGGTCACGATAACGAATCATAGGACATAAACAAAATTGCAGGGTCGCTGAAGGAAAAAGGCTCCGAGACATTTCATCGCATCTTTCGCGTTCAGAATATTATAACGGTTATGGAGAGTGTATAATGCAAGAGGATAGTAAAATAATAAAAAGTCGATGGAAGTTTAACCTAAAACACGTCCTAAATAAGGTTGCGAGCACGTATTACGCTAACTGTTTCTCTCTCTCTCTCTCTCTCTCTCTCGCTACTTACTCACTTATTCACGCATTCGCTCGCTCACTCGTTCGTCTCCATCCCACCCCTTACTGCCCTCCCCAGCGGACTCAGTCGCTCGCTCACTCGCTCTCTCTCTCTCTCTCTCTCTCTCTCTCTCTCTTTATCTTTGCCTCGGTTAATAGAAAGGCGAATTTGGCAATTGGCGCGTGCCAGAGCCGAGCTGCAGTGGAGTATTGGTCGCGTACCAACCAGCTTGGTTACGAAGTAGCAGGGCTTTCCTGACAGGTCGCCTCGACGTCGCTTCAACGTGGGAAACCTGTCACTCGGAATAACGGAAACACGAACGACCTGTACGTCACTGATAGCTCCAGAGGCCAGACTCCAGAAAGCGGCGGACGGTCGGCGGTCGGTCGGCGGTCGGCGCTCGGCGCTCGGCGCTCGGCGCTCGACGCTCGGCGCTCGACGCTCGGCGGTCGTCGCTCAGCAGTCGGCACTCGTCGGTCGACACGCACCTCGGTAATCTTCGGCGGGAATCGATAGTCGCGCTCACCGGACCTCCTCCGTCCTCCGTCGACCGCTTCCGCTGCCGCCGCCCCTTTACGCTCTTTCGATGCGCACACTTCGGCAAACTACGTAACGCCCCCTTTTTGCCACCTGACATCGCACTCGTCCGTTACTACTTAAACTGCTCTATGGACCGATGATATGACCGATGGTGATTTTTCTTTGACATGAAAAGTATGCGCGCGAAATTCCGCTCGTCCTGCCATGGGATGAGAGGACGCGCGCTTTTTCAACGTCCCCATTCGTAAAGCCGGTGTCGCGTCACTCATCCTGTAAATTTAACAAAGACAGATTTCGTTTCACCCTGGCACGTATCTTTCTCTCTCCTCTCACTCACTCTCTCTCTCTCTCTCTCTCTCTCTCTCTCGCGTCCTATCTCTCTCTCTCTCTCTCTCTCTCTCTCGCGTCCTATCTCGACTTTAGCTAGAGAAAGTTTTGTTTCAATATTCGCTTACTAATCCGCAAAAGACCATGGAATGGCTGAATGTGTTCTCCTAATAATGCATAAGTTTTAAGTCACGTCCAAGCTAATCCCGATGTACTTTAGATTTCCGTTAATTAAGCACTCATACCATTTTTATTATTTTCAAGCTATTTAAATTCATCGTTATCGAATGGAAATTTTCGAATGAATCACGGTTGCTTTAGGCGTTTTGGATGCCTTATACTACTAATATGTGACATAATTGATTATTGTCGGAATTCAGCCTATTGTAATTTCATCGCATTTTGCCGTCTTCTTTATCGTATAAGCGCATTTTTATTCGCTTGTTTAGTTTCGTAGACATGCGTTATTATAAATTAGCAATTACGTTTTATTGTTAGCGACCAAGGGAGGATAATCTAATCATCGTCTATATTAGACGATTAGCAATAGTTTATGACAATAAAGAAGAAAATGTAAAACTCCGCCTTATATTCTTCTTTTATAAAAATACATATGATTCTAATTAAACACATCTATTGCTTAATGGCCTCTAATTCAAATAAATAAAGCAGACACCAATAAATAATGATCGTCCATAGTTTTAGGCTAATTATAGATGTGTAAATTGCTATTATTACAAACACGTCAAATATTGATTTATTTCCCTTATTGAAAATAATATGTTTCGATATTTCAACTCTCAACTCATAACGTTTAATAAATACATCTGCAAGTGGTTAGTTTTTTATTTCATTGAAATTCCTATCTTCTCAACGAGACTTTTTGATTAGATAGCACTGATAGATTCCAATTTATCTAATCAAGTATTATTTTAAAGAAAATATGAAATATAAATACAATAAATAGCGTTTCCGTAAATTTGATATTTCCTTCAAAAACATAATACCATTCTCCGGTTCTTTATTAATATTTCTGCCTTAAATTTCATATAATTCTTTCTTTATAGTAATTTTCTTTATAGAAATTACACAATAACGAACATTTTATTCGAATAACTATGTGAAATATATCTTTAAGAAATATACAAATTTAAAATTACTTTTTAATATTAACTTCTATTTAATAAATAAAGTATCTGGCGACCATCTAAGTAATTATAAACGTTTCTTTACTTGCTTCGTTGCATTAGTTTTTTAAAAATAATTACTAATGTACAACACATAATGCTTTTAGAATTTATGTGACTAAATTTGTTTATAAAATATTTATATAAAATGAAGTCCTATATATATATATATGTAAACATTGTTATACTATTTTATTAAAAATTTATTGTCGTTTTATTTTTCATTCTTTTTTGTTACATTCCAAGTATTCTTGGTAGTACCTTATGGTTTATTTTCGTACAAAAGAGTTACGTTAACCATAAAATATTCGATAATACTTGTATCAACGAGGAAAATTTGCAAGCTAAATTTGAAGAAACAGAAAATTGTTTACATTTTATTTTTATTCATTAAATATTGTTCATTGAAATTAATTTAAAAATGTTCATCGTTGTAAAAAAAAAGTATAAATTAAAATAATTAAAGGAGTGTAGTGATATATCTATTCAGTTATTTAATCAATGGAATGGAACACACGAGTTCAAAGTATAATTATATCTACAACTCCTTATAATAGATATCCATGAAATATAATAATTTATAATTATTCGATTAAATCAAATAAAAATTGTATTTAAAAGCATTCGTTACAACGATTTAGAGAATATTATGGGGGTTTATTTTAAGAAATAAAAAAATAAGAAGTATACTTTTATTTAAAATGAATGAGCTTTATATCTTAACGGAGTATTAATTTACAAAATTAAATAACTACCTGAAAAATGCAATTGTTTGAATTTTTAAAACAAATAATTTATAAATCATGAAGATGTAACTCATAATTACTATTGCTTATAAAATAATTATTAATAACGTGTTTGTCGTAGAAACGAAATAACCGATGAAAAAAGTACTTCCGAGAATAGTAACTTTTATTCTGGATTTGATATTTATAAGAATATCTTTCAATGCTGAAGCAATTGTTTGACATTTAATTCTATTATGAAACTTTTAGAAACTTATAGGACACTTATGTACGTAATTTAAATGCTTTAGTAAATTTATTTGAAATATTTCAACTTGTAATTTTATTTATTTATTTATTTATTTATTTTTTTTTTTTTTTTACAAATTTATGAAAATACAATTGACGCGTAAGTTTAATAGAAAATTATTTATACATTGAATTTTAATTGAAATTACCTATCCGTAGCATTTAATTGCATAATTAAATAGTAATTTTTAAGGTCGCTAACTAGATATACAAGGTCAGAGTTGCAAAATATAAGATGGCGGATACAAGATGGCAAATAGAATTTCAAAAAAGGCGCCAATGCTATAAAACATTAAACCATTTGATTAACTAGGTAAAGCTCAAATGTACCAAAAGTAAAAGTAAACTGAATATTTCTCAATGTCTCATCTTTATATAATTTTAGACATTATGCGTATTGTTGTACTAAGGCTTTGGATCGAATAATATATGTAAAAAATTTTACATGTAAAAAAGCACCACAAAAAAATAACAAGTAATAAAAACAAATGCTTAAGGCATACGAAAGGATTATAATTTATGCATATAAATAAAAAGCTACGTTATTGAAAATTGTAATTATAGATATTATAGAATTTGTATGGCAACGTAAGCCAGCATTCTAAACTCCTTTTACAAATGATGATTTCGAAAATATCTTAAAATAAAATAAACAAATAATAAATTTGCGCGTGCGTGCGTGCGTGCGTGTGCGTGTGCGTGAGCGTATGTGTGCGGATGGAAGTAGGATACGTTCATGTCATTTATATACTCTTGTATATGGATGGATAGAACTTTGGCATAAGGATGAAAAGAAATCGATGGTTTGAGCAATTGTATGAAGGAGCGCTAACCGGCGCGCATCCGGGCTATCTTTATTGAATGAAAGGATCGCAATTCGCGAGTGGGGATATGTGCGAGGAAGCGCAGACGAATCGATAAATCATAGCGGGTCGCTCCGCGACTTTGTGTCTTCGTGTATATTCGCCCTTTCTTACCTCGAGTTAGAGAGTTCGCGCCACCGCGCGGCAGGTAATCAAGTCGCATTTTAAAAAAGAATTGTCACGCGCTTATTTTTCTGGCGACCCGACCCTCGGCGCTCAGTTCCTCGAGCCTTTCATTCATTAAAGCCGCATCTCTTCCCGCGCGAGGCTGACATTCCGACGCCAAAGTCAAATCTATACACCGCAAGCCCACATACATTTTGCTTCTCATACAATGTAATTTTACCAGCATTTGCTTTTGTTTGCTTTCATTGTTCTTAATGTGATATCTATGACTTTATGTGTGCTTAAATTTCTTGTTTTTAACTTTTTCTCTCATAAAGAATGTTCGCTACCGCGAAGCTTAAAAGCAACGCACGCTTGTATGCTTTCGAATTTTTTTTGTTTTTTTTTTTTGTTTTTACTAAATATGTGAGCTTTTCTTTTAGACTTTCAAGTGCTATAATTACTAAAGTGCTTATACCATAGTGCTAGAAGGTACATTGTGTTTATTAACCTGTAACGCATCTTAATATATCGAATAACTTTACCCTTTTCTAATAATAATTTTGCATTTTAATCTCAATATTTGCTCGACTTCCGAATTACAAAGAACAATATTTATCTACTTTAAAAGAACATTTTAACCGTCAATCATGCAAAAATTATAAATATTTATAATATTTCCGTTATTTTTTTTTTTCATTTCATTAAATAAATATCAATTAATGTTATCTTTTTTATATGGTTGTTGTTATTGTTGTTGTTATTGTTGTTATTCTCGTCATTGTCATTGTCATTGTCGTCGTCGTCGTCGTCGCCGTTGTTGTTTTGTTATTATTATTATTATTGTGGTTATTTTTATGATTATTATTTAACATTTAAATATTTATATTTCGTAATAAGGTTTCAATAAGGTCAGAGTTCAAATGAAGCGTGTATGATGACAAAGAGTTAACGAGATAGAGATGAAAATACTTCACTGATTTCTTACATTCGTTTTCGCATTTTTTCAAGTTATTTATTCAACTACGATAATATTGTGCCAAGATTAATTTATTGTTTTCATGAAGATTAATTTCATTATGAAATTATGATACATGTAAATTTCAAGTATTTCTATACTAGAAATAGCAGTGGTCAGCGATATTCGGAAAAATATCGAAAACAAATTTTTAAAATTTAGAGCAATCAATTTCTGTAAAAACTAGTACATAGAAATCGATAATCCATACATATATAACAACTATATGTAATATATCGTTTCGCAATTGAAAAATATTCATTCTCATCTATTATTAAATGTTTTAATACAAAAATTTTAAGCCGACGATTAATTATTAGTATAAAAATTAGTAATAAAATATAGTAAATTATATAGGTCAATGAAGAATTAAAAAGGTTGCTTAATTTTTATGCTGTTTTTGAGTGCCAAGATAGTTTTAAGAAACAATTTTTAAACTTTAATGCTTTATTAATAAAACTCGATAAAGAAAATCTATCAACAAAAAATAAATAAGTAAATTATTGAAACCAATATGGTATTTTTTTTTTTTTTTTTTTATTAATTAATTATTTAGTTATAAAATCGATATCGAAATCCTTCTTGAATATTGATTTGATCTATACTCTTAAAGATCGAAGAATATTTTATTGAAACATATTAATTGACACCGAATTATCTAAGTAGTTTGAAACGCTTTAGTTTATTATAGTTGGAGAGAGCTTTTGTATGATACAAGTTTTAATACTGTTAACATAGTGAGATAATATTGCACAAATCGCTTCACGCTAAATTCAAATTATGCGTTTAAGATTCAGCGAGTATGTAACTATTGGAGAAAGTGTGCGAAACAACAATAATCTATCCCCATCAACACCCTCGGTTAAGCTTAGGTAAGCGATCGGGCGAGTTCAAGTTAGGCGTATAGATTTGAATGTTTGATCGAATTGTTTATGTAAAGCTATAGAAAAAAATTGAACGTAGCCATTAATGGTGATAGCAGTAATTTGCCTTATGGTCGGAAGTAGCTCGCAATCGGGAAATGAATGAAGGATCGTAGGCTAAGAGTGAGTAATGGTCAATTGTAAATCCGTGATAGAAAGAGATTAAGACCGAAATGTATGAAAGTCAATGGTTTAGTAGTTTAGCGCAGGGATTGAGAAGAATCGATCGGATATCATTGTTTTCGGCACGAAGTAAAACGCACTGGCTCCCGTATAAGTTCCCGTCCGACTGGATTAAATCGGCTCGGCAATGTCTTAAAAATACAGGGGAACTCGTGTCGTAGGTACAGAGACGATGACGGCCGATGAGCAGCGGCGACGAGTCGGAGCGGACGGCGGCCGCTTTAGCGGCAAGCCTGGTGCAGGTGGACATCGAACGACTTCCACCGCGTCCCGTCATCGCCGGGGAGCGGAGACCCCGGTGGTGCGCGCGCAATGCCGTTCTCCTCTCGCCTCATCAGCTCATCGACGGACGTATCATCAGAAGTTCCTTATTGCTTAATAGGCATAGGAAGCGCAGGCGCTCGCTCAGGTTTCCCCAGAACGAAGTCGCTGGCTACCTCGAACCTGAAAATCCCTGGAGACATCGTGAGTATAAGCCAACATTTTTCCTATAAACGCGCTACTCCAGGTAACGCGAAGCTAATCACCTTTGAAGCTTCGCGATTTTATATGGAATCATGGTATTCACAATTTCCAGCATCGTGTTTGAGAATTGGCAATTTCGCTACAATTTCATCTGCGCTCGTTAACTATATAATAAATATTAACATGATTGTAGTGATAAATAAATTAAACTATATAAATTATTGTATTAATCTAAAAAATTGTAATTGGCATAAAATTTATCTATGATCTTTAGACGGACAAATATAATCCTCGCGAAACACTCTGAAATGCCATTTTTCTTTCTAAATAATTTTTTAATTTTAATTTTTGTAAATCGAACGCGTCTCGCTTTTGAGTAATCATGCCGTGTACAGATGTCATAAATTAGTGCTACATATGTTCTTATTTTAAATCTGTAAAAGAAGATTGCATCACTTGGCTAATTTTAAATTTATATTTATATATGCATATTTTTTTTTTTATTTTTTTATTATATTTTTTTTTTGTATTACTTTATTGAAACAGCAAATAATTGTAAGATTATTTTTGAAAAATGCAACTAACAATATCACTCAATTGTTTAAGATTCATTAAATCCAATTCAAACCTTCGTTTAATATCGGAGTGGGCACTGACTTCTAATTTATATAAATAAATACTCACGTACATACATTTTGATGTATACCACCTACATACGCTGTATCGCACAATACACGGATATGTAATTGCAAATTTATATTTATATTATTAGGATGGATTTATTTTATATATAATATAATTATCGCACAGCTTTCTCTTGAAAATAATATATTTGACGGAACCGATAATGTTTAAACTCTAATATAATTGGTAATTTCGTTCAATGAAAAAGACATATAGTAACAATTATGTGAGTAAATAATAATAATATAATCGTTTTGATTATGCTTCGATAATTGATCATCTTTGAGTAGAGCGTGAAATATAAATTTGTAAAAAGAAATATAAATTGAATTCAAAATTGTCTAAATTCTATCTGCTTTACGATTAAATTATCAACAATATTATAAGCCCGACATTGAAAGCAATTTTCTAAATCGTTTACCTTTTAGTTCCATTAATGAATTTTAAAAGCATTTATAATTTGTTATATCTACGAAAAATCCGTATCCAACGTACCGATAGCCAATTCTCAAGTACAAGCTCATAATATAAGCTCATCATTTCTAATGGGCAATCCAACTTTAAAGAAAAACGAATCGAAGCCCGCGAGTAATTATTCGAATGGGAAAGCAAAATAAAGAAAAAACAGTAAAAGCTACCGTTTTCACTGCTTTGATGAAGAAAATATGCCGTAAATAAGCACACGATAATGTTATGCTTATGAAATACCCGTTAAAGAAAGAGGGCTAGCGCTATTCTTAAAATATTACGACCTACTTTAGCAGTAATATGGTTTCATATAAAAAGTCTCACTGCCAGCCGCGAAGGCTCATAAAGTTCTGGAGATGATAAACGGAGAAAAGATGAATGCGTGAATTCTTTAAAATAAATTACATTGTATAGCCAAAGGGTCGAAGCGAGGAGAGAAGCATAAAATTGGGGCCACCACAACACTAGTGCCAAGAGGGGAAAAGAAAAGCTAAGGCATCGCCAACGAATACAAATTGCGCTCGTCCACTCATGTACGCGCTTTTATTTCATTTTATTTATTTGTTTGTTTTCCTCCTCTTTAGTGCACACACAGCCTCTCGGGAGTATGCGTTTTCGCAACGGCTGTGGCTCTCGTTCACTAATTATAGTCACGGGGGCGGGCCGAAGCGCTGGTTTCTCGCGCGCGAACAGCTTACCATGCGCTCCTCGTCTTAAAACGTATCGGAGATGCAGCCAATTTTTAATCACGTTTTCGCCCACGATTATTACCCCCTCGTCGGGTGATTATATTTGACTAATGGGTGCGAGCGCGCGAGAGTAGTTGCATAATTTCTGATTTGCCCCTGCGTATGGAAGTGTGATGCGTTTGTGTGGCCGTTTCGCAGAAGTTCGATAAATTATCGATCATCGCCGTCCATCCCCGGTATTCCATGGTAGCTACATTCTTTCTGACCATCGCTTTATTTTAATATTGGTAATAGTCCGTTTCATATTGCTTGCTAGAAATTGAGTGCCTGCTAGAAACATGTGCTTATGCAAGATTATTTCATTCAATAAGCACACAGACATTAAGTATAGTAAACATCTTTTCATCTTCGGATTTGTTCATTTTTAAATACTTAATCTTAAATCGTTTCATCCACAAATAAAATATTAAACATACATTTTCACGTAATTACGTGCTTGTAAACAAAAATTTTAATTGAACAAAAGAAGAAAAAAACAAGAACAACAAAAATAAATAAATAAAAAGAATTACAGTTTTAACCAATAATTCAAACAAATAATCGCATGTAGAAATTTGTAATTATAGTGTCGTACGATTTTATAATTTTATTTTTAAACTTTTAGCTTATTATCACGCTTCGTTTACATTTCATTTTTTATCTTCTCAACTACTATTAACAGGTTGTTTATAGAGATTACACAAATTACCTATGATCTGTGTGAAACGTAAAAATGCCTACAAAAGTAATCGTAATTATTTCAGCATATGCATTCCTGTTTTCTCTTGGCAACAATTTTTACAATTACTAAAGACATTCGTTTTCTGATAACAGGTAAAGATGTCAAAAGAGATGCAGTACTTGTTGCATATAAAGAAGCCTGCTCGAAGCATAAAACATCTCCCTTACAGAGCATTATTTACCAGCTTAAGGTAAAAACTAGTTTTTATAAATATCATTATTATTTACAAAGAAAATAAAAGTAAAAATAAGTAAAAATAAAAATCATATAAGATATTTTATAAATCCAAAATATTTTAATAGCTATAAATTGGTTTATTAAATCAAATAATAATGCTTCGCATCTAGATTGAGCTAAGAACTTCACAGAGCTCGATGCACAATGTTTGTGTATAGAAGAAACTTATTTTCATCAAAGAAGCTTTTATCTCTGATCATATGAATAAGCATTTTTTAATTAAGACGATTTTATTACGAACAGAGAAATACTTTGTTAACTAACTATTATTTACATAAAGCATATAATTGAATTCTGAATATTAAATTACATAAATCTTTGTAAATTAAAACAATTAAAATAGCATTCGTTTATGCGTTTGCCAAAAAATACTCTATCAAATATAACATATTCCATAAAATTTTCAATTAAAATATATTTCCATTTTTATATAATTATATGCAAAATTTAAGCATATATATAAATATATATATATATATACATGTCTTATTAATAATTTATTTAGTGTACAAAAATTAGTTAAAATTAGTTAGTTAATTTGATTACTTATTAACATTATATGGCTGTTTAAAGTAAATATATATATGTGTGTGTGTGTGTGTGTGTGTGTGTGCGCGCGCGCGCGCGCGCGTGTGCATGTGTGTGTGTGTATCCTATTAATTTATAGTGCTAAAACTCATGGTCAGCAAAATATTAAAGTAAACTCCATATAATTATATCTGTTCGTTAACGTTTCCTCAACTTTCTGGAAATATGGCATTTTAATTATTCATACATTCATTATTCGAATTAAATCAGAATTTCATTTATAAAATTTGTAACAATAAAATATTATAACGATTAGTCAACAAATGGTATAGAAGATCGTTGCGAGGAATTGAATTTTCAAAATTTAACCCTCCATAGAAGTGATTGTGAAGCCTTGGAAGAAATATTTAAAAGAATTTTATTTTATAAAATTAATTTAGATGCAGCAATTGCAGAAGACATGGTAAGATTAGAGTAATAAGAAATTTTTAATTTTTAATTTATTAATTTAGTAACGTATTCTCTAAAAACTTTCAGAGTGCAGAAGTTTTGTTTCAAATTTTCGAATTTTATGAAGCTACCGCTCATCTTGATTTGTCAAATAATTCAACGATCGCAGCTTATGGCTGGCAAGCTTGCAGTAGAATGCTAAGAAAAGTAAAGAATCATTGAAAATTATTATAACATGCGCAATCATTAAGAAAACTTATGTAAGAATTTATATCTGCAAAATTAGTTTTTTTTTTTTATTATGATTAGAATGAAAAATTAAAATATTTCAATTAATTCCACGAAAGCAGCTTATTTATTTCCAAATGGCTAATCAATATATTAACAATCTGTCAATTTGCGTATTCAATTAATCTTAAAACTATAATTTTTATGAAGCCAATAAGCTCGTTTTTATAATTGCAATATAATTGCGCGTTACGCTCAAATATCTAATAAAGTCTCTTTTGAAATGTTTAATTTCAAAATTTATGATTCAGCTATTTTTATAGTTAATTAAAAATCTGTTATTATTACAATAAAGTGAGTTTAATTTAAAAAGAAACAACGAAATTTAATTTACAAATATTTTGTAGAGTAATTGACTGCATTTGTAAAAAGTTCAAGTCCAAAAATTCTAAAATAGCGCATCAAATTAGTATTTTAAGAGCCGATCTTTTTAAATATTAAACATTAGTGATTTACAAATTTTGCAAAAATAAATTTTTTCCAAAATCATCTTTTACTATTAGTTTAGAAAAAAAAATAAAAAAATAAATAATTTATCTAATATTTTTTAGACGGAATCTCTTAAGCGACTAGATGCTACAAACGTACATTTAAATGAAGAATTTATGACTATACTTATACGAGGTTTGAGATATGCTTATCTTATTATATTGAAATTGGATTCCTGTAAACTTTCTGGACGACTCCTTGAATTATTAGGTATAATTATGAGATACGCGATTAGAGAATCCTTTTCCATACCATTCAGGATAACGGTGTTTTTCGTTCTATGACTTATTCAGAAAATCATTCGTAAAGTCATATTTTATGCTTGATTTTATTGCTTTTAACAAAATTATTATTCTATAGCAGAATGTGTATATGGTGATTCATGTGCAATTTAATTTTACGATTAATTTACCTTCCATTAATTGTTTAATTTACCTCAATTAATAATCCGATTAGCATTATCTAAGAGTTTTTTAATCAATATATTTGAATATATTATTCTTAAATAACCCGAGATAAATCTTTTTAAATAATTTATTGATAAACTTACGAAAACGAGTAAGTAATATTATAGATGAATAAATTTGTGCATAATAAAACAATTCATATATGTGTATATGGCATAAAAATAATAAGCAAACTATCATATGTAAATAACAGTGCATTTTGCTTTGCTAGTCATATTTGCCTAATAAATATTTCAATATTTTTCCATCAGATTTGTATAAAAGAAAAAAACAAATAATAATAATAACAATAATAATAATAATAATAATAATAATCTTTTAGTTGGACATATTATTACTCGTCATCTATAAAAAAAAAAAAATTGTTAAAATACATTGTAAGTGTAAAAAATTATCATAGGATGAAAAATAAACTGTTATTTTTAAAATAATTAAATACTTATGCACAACGCTATTTATATTTAATATAGATATGGGACGAATAATATAATGTCAAATTTATACTTTTATATATTTTTCATGCAGCAGTTTTGTATTTATTAACTATAGTGCAGTGAAATAAAACGTATAATTTTATTTGTACAGTTATAGCCTTGAAATTCAACATGGCATTGCGGCAGCTTTATCTTTGTGATAATGGATTACATGGGTCAGATTGTATTCAAATTGAAACCCTTTTAAAATTCAACAGTCGATTGGCATTTCTTGATCTGAGGTAACAGACATTTAGATAAAAGTAAATTTTCAATGCAAATTTTATATGAATATCAATCAATGCAAATAATCAATTCAATGCCCTTATAAACGATACAAGCATAATTTATTGAAATAATTATATTGATAAAACACTGGAGTAATATCTTATACATAATAATGGTACAATTTTTACAATAAATACTTTAGCATTATATTACAAATGTATAAATATATATATATAATAAAAAGTTTGAACATAAAAACGAATTAATGATGTATATATTTACAGAAAATATTATTTATGAATTGTAATTGTATGTTAGAATGTTATTTTGTTAAAGGCTTTTACTTATGCAAATAAAAATTAATTTCTAATTATTTACTAAAACTAGAATTGAAAGTTGAATTACTGAGATAACGAAGATACTAATTATACTTTTTAATTTGAGTATTAAAAACATAATAAAAAACCTATAAAAATAAATACAAACATTTAAATTAGTCTATCAATTAATATTCTGATGAATGAATGAAAGGCACAGTGAAGAACAATTATTAATAATGTATTGAAATTTTGTAAATTGATCATCTAGTTATATTTTCATATGCTGTTCATATAAATTAAAAGTGAGATTTATTACACGCAGATAGCTGCTCATAAAAATTTTAAGTATTTGAAGTAGATAACGACTAGATAGAATTTATAAGATAAATAGTGTATTTAGAATTAATCAGAGACACATTTTCTGACTTTATCTGATCAATATTTATGAAACATTTAATTGCCAAATAAGTAATATAATACTATTTATTAATTATATTAATATTTCACTGATCTTTAATAATACACAAAACATTTCTTCACTTCAAATTATCGAGAAAATTATATTTATTATTTATTGTTCACGTATACGCGGCTATCTTTCGATAATCGACATTTTATATTAAAAAAAAAAATAAAAAAAAAAAAAAAAATGAACAGAAAAAAATGTTTTATTTTGTAACCAATTAGTTAAAAGTTATATACAATGTTATTAATAAAGTATTTATAAAATGTAATAGAATATCACCTTGAACCTTGAACTCTGCTCAATAATGCTTTAATAATTTTTAATCTAATAAAATTGTAATTTTTTTTTACTAGCAATAATTTGATTGGAGATGAGGGCTTATATTATGTCATAAATGGGCTAACTCATCAATTGCATTTTGGAAAAAATAGTAAATCAAAAAAAGGCCTAGAAAGTTTAATACTCTGGAATAATAAAATGACAAGATGTTCGGCTACGCACATTAATGCTGCCATTGTAGGTAAAGCAATTTATTATTAAGAGTAAAGTAATTCACGTTATATTAAGCAAAAAATACATCAAATATAATTATATAATTAACACGAAAAAAGTGGATTATCTATTCGACTTTACAGAAGAGATCAAAAACGCTAAAATGCTTAAACATCGGTTCAAATACTTTAATGGATGATGTTATAATGGATATAACAGATTCCTTAATGGAAAATAAAGTCTTACTCAGACTGGAATTACAATCGACGGAGATAACGTGTTACGGGGCCTCAGAATTAGCACGAGTTCTTAAAGTTAATAATTTCATCAAAGTAAGATTTTTTATTGTTTTACTAATTTTCTTTTTATTTAAATATAGTGAATGCAATTCAGTAACTTTAAGAGATATGATTCTTTTTGAGGGCATTATTACATTATTACATTATTACATTATTACATTATTATCATTGAGATCATATTGTAAAAATATATTTTGCATTTATTATGTTACATTGATTAATACATAAATTAACAAATCGACTGAATAATTAATTCCATTATAATTTTAATGATTCATAATCAATATCCAAATTCTAAACGTGAATTTTAACGATTATATCTTACTCCATCAATCTCATTAAAATTAATACTATTCTTTTCTATGTGATTTGATCTACTGAGATTTTTGTATAAATTCATATTATCATTAAACTATAATTTCATGGGTACTACATATGATTAATAAATTTACATTTTTTGTTGAACTTAAGATGCCAAAATGCTTAAAAGTTTTAAATCTACATTTAGATAATATTAATTTGTAAATGCTCGAAAGAATATAATGAATAAAAAATAAAACCTATACAATGAATGTTTAGCCTTTTACTATTAAGCCTATATTGTTCAAAATATTTTTTATATGAATATTTTAAACAGCTCTCTAAATTAAATACACGTAATGCAATTCGATCTATATTTATCTACTTCTATATATATATATATATATATATATGGTGTGTGTGTGTGTGTGTGTGTGTGTGTGTGTATGCGCGTGTGTAAACAAAATATATACATGTAAATTATTCATATGCATGCACAAATATGTAAACTCTCGTGCATGTTTGTATAAAAATTACACTATATATATAGTAACTCTGTATTGCCCGGTACCGGGGAATATATTTATTCGTTAAATTAACATGTTTTATTGTCTACAGATCCTAGATCTTCGAAATAATCCAATTTATAAATTGGGACTATTAAGTTTGACAGAAGCCGTGAAGACGAACGAAAATGTCACAGAGATTATTGTTGATGAAAAATCCAAAATAAAAATAGTAAGTGTGCGCATTAGTACGAAAATATTAATATATATCGCGGTTATTAATATTCTACTATTAAAAGTGATTTTATTAAAATTTTTTTATCGCTTTTATTATTATTTTGATTATTATTATGAACGATTGTGGCTGTTAATGTTGTTATTATTGCTGTATTTTGTATACATATAAATTGTTTGATATTTTCTTTATTATGAAATTGTTTATAATACATAAATTAGAAATGCATAGTATATAGTATTAGGTATGTATGCACTGAAATTATCGAAACTTTCACTATTTTAAATATTTCTAATAATTTTCTTTCCAATATGAAAATAGAACACATAAATACTTTTTCTTTCATTAAAATATCAGTTTTTTTTTTTCATGATACAAAAATATAACTAGAAAAAATTATCATTTAACTACAAACTGAGACTATCGATTAAAAATAAATTAATTTAATCCGACCATTGTTTATTTCTAATTAGTCGAATAAAATAAAAATAAAGTACAGTGAGCTAGTGAAGCAACTTCAGAGTCTTTGTGAAAGAAATAAGGAACTTCAGAAGGAAAAGGAATCGGGTAATAATTTAGTAATTTATTATTCACCAATTTACTCCAAATTTAACACCAATTTTTGTTTAATTTGCATTAATAATATACATAGCATCCTGTAATGCATGTGGGACCGATGCGGATGAAGAAAGCGATGAGAAAGACGATTCGATATTTGGCGAAGATGATTTTGAAGAACTGGAAGAGCCACAAGAGGAGCTTCCGAGTCAATACAAACGTTACATGACTTGGAAAATATAGGAAAACTTCTAAAATATGATTTTTCATAATCATTTCAAAAAACAGGGCTCGAATGTACACATTATTTTGTAATAAAGAAATATAGAAATGAAAAACATTATTGCTAATAAATTACAGCATATTTTATTTCCTTTTAATATTGCGTATCAGTTATAAATTAATTATCGAGAATATTTTATGTCAAATCCAACGAAATTTCGTTTCGAGGAAAATTTTTAATTAATGATATTGAAAAGATTTCAATCGGCTCGGTCCTTATTGAGAATTGGTGATTTCACGAAAATGGGTGGAGCCGAAAGCTCAGCTTTTGTTTTGACGCGAATCAATGACATCCGAATGAAAGCAGCGAACATAATATAGGATTACAAAATACAAAACGGTCCTCTTACATTCTGCCATTCTTGCTTTTGGCATCTTTCAAAACAGTCGGCTTTACCGTCTTACCGATGCGATATTTTCGTCGCTTATGCATTAGCGGCCTCGCACTGATTAGCCAAGTGCGAACACCCACAATACGGGTAGCCACATCGCATACAACATATCCGTATATACCCGGCAGGTGCAGGCACGTGTTCGTAAGAGCTAAATCCAGCATGAGGCTGATAATGGATGATTAACGAAAAATTCGATCAATAGTAATAATCCAGTTGATTAATCAGGGACAAAACACCTAGTTTCTTCACACACCCCGAATTATTATTTGAAAGTGAATAATTTGAAAAATATTTTAACATTATTCATAAGACAGTCGACGATACTTTTATGTCCTCTTTGATAAATGAACGACATGTTAATTGCATTTGCATTTGCACATCAAATTAACAAGACGAATAAGAAAAATTCTATTCACAATACTACAACAATAATACACCTGTGTAACATTATCGCCTTAATCATTCTCATAGTTTCTCAATTTAAATTTTACGAAAAGCTGCTAAAGATTCGATAATCGAATATCGACTGGCCCTAAAATGACAATTCCAAGATCTTTCAAACGAGGGATGGTCGGTCACTACCTGATGGGCCCATTTTAATCCCATGACCAGCTCTGTTCTAAGCTTTTTGGCTCTTTCAAATGCCCGCCATTTCAGTATGGAGCCTCCATAATAATCAGTCACATTGCTTCAAGCAATTCCGATACAATGAATGCAACGACAATAAAGACAATTTGTTTCGATGGACGCAAGGTGATTGTATTATTATTTCAAATCCTTGAATATTGTGTTTAACGAGTTAGACTGCCGTAATATTTGCATATGTTGCTCGGATGTCGTACCGAGCGCGATGTTAAGAGCCAATAATCATCGACCGCTGCTACTGCGCATGCCCCAAATCTAACTGGGCCGACAAATTGGAATGGAATGTAATTGGAATTGGTAAGAAGGAAGTCGGAGTTCGGATCTTTCTTTTTACTTGTATTGTCATAAAGAACGTAAGTTTTTAAAGGTTATATTCGTTATTATTTCTATTCAATAAGCATTTGAAAATAATTTATTTTTTATCGTTTATATAAATACTCGAAAAATTGGCGTATGCATATGTCGTTATATTAATTTACAATTAAAGTGGCTCGAGTATAATTTATAATAAATATTCGCTTAGCGAGGACACGTGTTAGCTTTCGTGTTGATTTTATTCGTCTTCAGTGAGCATAAACAGTTAATTATTTAATTAATACTTAGTCGTGTATTGGTAATTTTCTTTTAAATAATATTTGATTAATATACCAGTCATAAAAATACGTTGTTGATATTAGGCTAACCTAGCTTTTATAAATATGGACTATTGAAATTTCTATTTTAGCTATAATGTCATATGTAATACCAATATTTAATAGATTTTAAATGTACAGTTACTGCAGTTGTAATAAAAATACATTAGTTATGCGTGACTTATAAATTTACAATGTTTTTTTTTTTTTATAAATTTACAATTTGTTTTTAAAGGAAAATACAATTTCGTGATTTTAGGTGAAATAATTATCAACAATGACGAACTCAAAGGGTTATCGTCGTGGTACGAGAGATTTGTTCTCTCGAAAATTCCGCAAAAGTGGAACCATTCCCTTATCGACGTACATGAAAGTTTACAAAGTTGGAGATATTGTTGACATTAAAGGTAATGGAGCTGTACAAAAAGGTATGCCTTATAAGGTTTACCACGGCAAAACTGGCAGAGTCTTCAACGTCACTTCTCATGCTCTTGGAGTAATAGTTAATAAACGTGTGCGCGGGCGTATCATTGCCAAACGCATTAATGTGCGTATCGAGCATTTGAATCATTCCAAGTGCCGTGAAGATTTTGTTAAGCGTTTAAAAGAAAATGAACGGCTTAGGAAAGAAGCTAAAGAAAAGAAAATTCAAGTACAGTTAAAAAGACAGCCGGCACAACCTAGACCAGCACATATTGTTTATGGAAAAGAAGCACCCCAACTGTTAGCGCCTATTGCTTATGAATTTATTGCTTAATTTGTAATAAATTTAATTTATAAAATCTCAATGTATTAGTATTCTTGTCTTTATTATTACCTCAGATTTTTACATTAATAAGAGTTTTTATAATTACACAAATTTTTATTTAAAACATACAAAAATATTGACAAACGATTATCAGTTACTTTGTAAAAAAAAAAAAAATTTTTAATTTAAGATTTATTTGTTTCTCTTTGATCGATCGGTGGTACTTCCTTATCTATAAATTTTAAATAATCTTCATTACCGTTTTGTATCTAAAATAAATAATAAAATTAAATATATATGAACTGTGCTTAGAGTACATTAGAGTACTTACGGGTACAGAAATAACTTCGCACACTTTATACGGATGATGTTCCCTACGTTAAAATAAAAAATTTATAAAAAGAGCAATTTCATAAGTTGCTACATATGTACGTACTTAACATATTGGGTAAGAGCAGGAACCGTATCTGTTCTTGTTTTTATCATCTAATCAAGAGAAACTAAATATTACTGCAAAATTGTAAATATGGGGGAAAACTTACAAATAGATATTTTTACCAATAAATGTTCATCATCTTCGACAATCGAATTATCCCACTTGTATCTAAAAAAATTAATATTTAGTTTCATATTATCAATTGTATATTTTTAATTAGTAACGAAACTACGAACTTACATTGACTTGACATTTTTTATAATATTGATACAAGCTGCTAATTTATGCTCTATTAGCCCACTACAGAATATTTAAAAGTTAAAATTAAGCTTCAAGAGTTATAAAATCTATGATAAAAATACTCGTACCGTGATAGTGTACTTGCATATTCGCCGGTTTTAATAGTAACATAAACTATTGAAAAAATACCGGCGAAATTACTCATCGTTTGAAAATCTTATCTATAACAAGTTTTCGGAAAATAACAAGGTTAATCTTATTGTCAATTTCACCACCATAAAACTAACAGTATTATTACTAATAATTAAGAATAAACAAAGCAGTGCGGTTTATGTTAAAGATATACTTCGTATTCCAAATTTTGATTAGAGTAGTAATGGTGGTTTAACATAAGATTATTGTTTTGCATGCATATTGAAATTAAAAATTCATAGTTGTCATAGGCAAAATTACACAAATTATATAAAACTATCATTGGCTTGTTAATGAGTCATTTGCCGCTATATTGCCAAAAAACATCACATCACACACATTCTAAAGTTTCCCATCCATGCGCGCGCGCGCGCGCACACACACACCCGTATTATATATATATATATATATATATATATATTGCAAAAAAACTTAATTTTCCTGCTGTTTATAAATTTATGTTAGAGAAGCTGCCAACAAGAATTTATTTAATGAAAATTTTAGTACCCGGAAAAAAAAAGAAATTATATACACAAATTTAAAAATCAATATAAAAATTAAGAAAATAATTAGAATTTTTAGTTTAAAAATTTATTTTATTAAAAAATCATCCATATAAAAACTTGGATCAATCCTTTTTTTAAGTAAATTCTAATTATTATTACAAACTCTTCATATTAATTTATATTTGCAAAAATTCATTTTCTAAACTTTCAAATTAGGTCTTTATTAAAATAACAAAGATATTATCCATTCATAACAATATTTTTATTCACAGTCATACATTTTTACATTTTAATAGAATTTGATAATGTCTCCAACATGGATAGTGCAGTTTTTATCAGAAATCAACTCATTAAATAAGCGAATTGATTTGTTTTAACTTCATGTAGACTAGTTTTGAAATACATTTACAATAAATATACCTTACATAGAATGAGTTTTTCCTTTTAGCATATAAAAATGAATTGAATGAAATAATTCAATCATTAAAATCACTGAATGAACGAATTAAATTGTTTTTTAAACATTTCCCAGTTGTTTTCAAAGAATGCAGAGAAATTGTATATTTTATAATTTTTATATTTTTTATGAGTATATAATGCAGCAAGTATAACTATTATTAAATAATACCCTTTAAAATTTTTTCTTTTTATTCTTAATATTTTATATTTTTTAAATAGTAAAATATGACAAAATAAGAATACGATTTAAATATTGCTTTATCTTTTAAGGATAACTTTTAAAGTAAAAAAATCTACTTAAATTTTTATTTCTTAATTTCGAATAATTAAACTCAATAAATTCAAAATCAATGAATTTTTTGAATTCTATAAAAAAAAAAAAAAATCTAAAAGTGACTCAATTAAAAAATATGTATTATTACATAGGGATATTAAGTCCTGTATTCGTACTAAACCTCGAAGAAACAATTATTTTAAGGCATATAAGAAAATTATGTATCATAGAAGTAGTGATAAATTTAATGATAATTCCATCTGCACGAATATCAGAAATTTTTACTGCGAACCATTCAAACTGATGGTGAGAAGCTGGACGGATACATAAACACACCAAACATAAACTTGTAATACGAGCAAATTTTCTTTTTTTGCCTCCCTTCTAACCACTATAAAATTGCGCGCTCGCTCTAACTCTCTCTCTCTCTCTCTCTCTCATTGCAAATTAATATTTAAATCTACATTGTCTTGATTACTTCATATCTCTCTCCTATATCTTAAAATAGCTTTGTTGCCTTCATGTTTAGCCCAAATACTACAGACACTTAACATTTATATGTAACGAAATTTATATAAATCTAAATATTCACATAAAAATTGAAATATAAATACAACTTACATAGATCAATTAAATTTCTGATATATAATAATACATCTCCGATATAATTATTTAATAACTTCTAATAGGATAAAGAGAAAATATAAAAAAACTTCAATTTGTTTTCATTTGTTTCAATTGCCGATTATAAATTTTGCAATCAAACCTTCGCTACTCGACTTATGGTGTAATGTAAAAAGAAATCCAAATTCTTACAATTTATCAGTACGTTATCAATTTTAAAATATTCTTTAAAAGGATATACACATTCCGTGTATACCTATAGTACAGACATCTTTTCATAACATTCATTAATCTTTCATACCCATTGATCACAGAGGAATACGAAAAGTTTCGAGGATTAAAAGATAACTTTGCATATAATGAAAAATGCTAAAAATATCTTATTCTCGGATAAAAAACTAGATTGGAATCATTAACTTGAGAAGCTCTATGAAACTTTTCAGTTCATTGCAAATGATTGCAAATTGTCAAAAAAATGCAGTGTTCATACTATTTAATAGTTACAGCACAATAAATTTTAGAAGCTTTACTAAGCATGCAATTCATTAAAATCCTCCGTTGTAATAATGTCGTCCTTTAACTTTAATTTACTTAAAGGGCGAGCTTAAAGTCTCCTGATATCTTCGTTATATTCTATACCAAATTTTAGAAGATTATCACAGAAACTTTTTGCAACTTGAACAGAAGTTTTTGCATCTCGTACAAAAATTAATTTAATATCATTTGGTATTGTCCATAGAAAAATCTAACAAAGATGCAAGTCCCACACAACTGGAACTGCTTTTTAAAATCTGGGCATTTATATCTCTTTTCTTTATGATATAAAAGCCACAGATAAAGCAGATATTACAAATTACAATAAAAATTTCTTCATCAAACTTAATTTTAACTGCAGTCTCTTGATTGATAAAATAAGATATATCCAGTTTCTGAATTTTTTTGAATATCTGATGTCAATCCATAAAAATCTTCTATAGTGGATGAATCAATTTTCTAAAAATGTATACGTACATAAGAATTTTTTTAAATAGTTACATTGAAATATAAATAGAATACGTATTAAAGTTATTTCCAAAAAATTCGGTTAAAATTTCATTACGAATTGGAATCAGTAAATATTATACATTTTAAAATATATTGTATGATTACATACATCAACCATATCATCGTCAAACAATAACCAGAACCCGTGACTTTTAACTATTGAAATGTAATGTCCTCTATTAGGTCCGCTTCCACAATGAATTACTACAGCTACAAGATCATATAAGCGATCTGGATTTACAGCATCGTCGCACTATAATATAACATTTTTTTTTATTATGTATTACTACAGACGGAAACTTAATAAAAATAAGTATTATGTAAATTTTTATATTAAACTTACTGTATTAAAAAGTCGAAGTTCTAAAGGAAAGACTACCCTGTGCGAAACTTTTATATGCCTATTATACTGTTCAACATACTTAAATCTTTTTAAATGTAAAGCAAGTATCATTGGTAGTTTCTTTAGCATCATCCGTTTCTATAATAAATTAATTATGAAAAATAGATATTAATTTCAATATTTCTTGCAATAATTATATTAAAATTTATCAGTACGTTTGGATTAAATAAGTTTCTTACCTGGGCTTCTTGATAACTGCTGCAGTGGTCACATTTAAATTTGTTATCACTACAGAGTGTTTCTGTATTCGAGAAACATTTGAGGCAATGGGTAATTGAGGTATTCTGATCAACGTCCACTTGAAGATCAAAGAAATCTTCATCCTTGCTAGATACAGTCTCACAATTAAGGCAACGAGTTTCTGAAGTCAGAATGCCCTGAAATATTTCATGTACCCATGTAGGTTCTGGTGGTGTACCAGCATCACCTGCACCTTTTCCACCAGCAGGCTTACTCTGATTTCTTTCCGCTTTATAAAAAAGAATGAATTATTATTATATATGCAATAATAGTAACGACAAATTGTTATTAAATTGATTATTATTTTCATTTCCTCTTACCCAGTATAATTTCATTAATATGATTAATAAGAAAGTTCAAAAATTCATGAGCATCTTGCTGCATATAATTATCAAACTCCTCTGTAAAATTATTTCATATCAAAATCTATTCAATTTCATTAATCGATAAATTAATTCAGTTAATGCAAATATTAACAGACCTTTTTCTTTTCTTAGTCGAGCTATAAATTTTTTTGGAGCTATGGAACCCACTTTTTTTTTTTGAGTCGCTATACTGTGAAACAAATCTGCCAAACATGTTAAAAGAGTTTCTTTGGTACGTTTATTTCTAGCTTTATATTCTAAGACTTTTTCTCTGAAAGGCCGACAGAAGTATAAGGCTTGCAAGACTGAATTGCTATAACAAGTGTTGCCAAACTAAAAATTAAAAGAAATATGAAAAATCACTCACTTGTTGATTATATCTTCATATTCTATACAATTCCTTTTTTAAATTAGATAAAAATTATACTAAGCAAACAATGAAACGAAGCAAATTGTTTTATTATGAAATTAAATCTATGTTGTATTATAATAACTATATTAATAGTTGAGAAGGTTGAAATACAGAAAAATTATTTTAAAATACGACTACAATATTATTAAACAGACATATCTTTAATATAAAATATAACATATTTATTAAATATCATAAAATATTAATAGAATAGAATTATATAGAATATAAAATTTTGTGTTCAAGTATAAAGTTTCTTAAAATTAAAATATTATTTTGTAATTATATTGATAACAAATTTTTAAATAAATGTCATACTGTTATAGAATACTAATAATTATACGTGACCATAGTTGATTTTACAATATATTTAAAATCTTACATTAACTAATCCAAAATAATGCTCATTAGGAGGAAATTGGTCAGAACCAATATCTCGTTCCAATTGAGAAATATTAGCACCCTGAAAGAAAAATTCAAATGTATAATTATAATTATATGTTAATACGATTACTTATGAACAAATATACAAATTATATTTCTGCAATTTTAACAGCATTTCGTGCTGATGTATCATAAGTTTTCTTAAATGACTGCTTTATATTCAATATTCATAAAATCTGGAGATTGCAATGAAAATTAAATGTAAAATTATCTTCATTCAAATAAGTTATACTTTAAGCATAGTCTCGATATCTCATAGGATATTGCTTTTATCGTATTTACAATTTATACAGACAAATAGCTATTTTATAAATAAAAAAAAAATAAAAAAAAAAAAAAAAAAAAAAAAAAAAAAAAAAAAAAAAAAAAAAAAAAAAAACATCTGCAATTGGCCAAAAAAAATTTCAACCATACAATTGTTGCAAAAATAACTTACCATTTTATGAATTGTTCGTTCGAATTACGTGATCTTGACGTACACCCGGCGACGATTTATAAACGCAAGTAATACCCATCGTACGTAAGGATAAGAGAAGGTACATTAGTAATTAGAAGCTGCACGCAACATGATTAATTAAGAGAACGACATTACTCCTATGTTCTGAATTATTATATGGTTGTTTCCTACACTTCAAAGGTTAGGTCCAACGTTCTGGGAGAACACCTGATTAAGAAAGTACCATGTAAAATTGACGAGCGATTAGACAGAAAAGTGCGATTAATTACACGATAAGCGATAAAATAAATTGACCTAAGACTTTTTAAAATCTATTTTCTAACTTTTAAATTTGCCTTTATCAATGATACCGAATGTTTCTATGACATTTCACCTGCAGATATAGAAATGCGTGAACATACGTACTACATGAAACTGCCTTGAAGATTTTTATGGTCAAATTTGAGATACGAGTCGTTTTCATGTAGGCAACGGAAGAATTGGCACCTATGGAATATTTTTTAAGATATTTAAAATTTAAGGATATTCGATGTGATACAATTTTAGGATTGAAAAAATTAATCCCTTAATTTTCGTTTAAAATCTGCATTAAATCCTATCGCATTAGTTATGAGAGTAATTATCTTTTAATTCATATTTCATTTCACAGGGACGGGACACTTCGCTGAGCAATTTCCCAAACTTTATTTTACTCTAAGTATATAGAATAATTTCAACAATTATACGTCACTTTTATTAAAAATTTTACTAGAATTTGAAAATTGTACTATCTGTACAAAATTTGACAAAACATAATTACAAATTTGTCCAATGTCTTTTTGCAATTATTGATCCGTAGATTTCAAGTTTTATTTGTTTTTTTATTATGATATAAAAATTAAATGAAAAATATTTATAAACGTCAGCTTTTAATTATTTTTTGTAAATAGATAATATAGCATATTATTAATAACCATAATATACATACACTTTGTATGTAAAAATTTATTTCTTTAAATGTATGTAATAATTATTCGTTGGTAACATTTTGATTATTATTTTTTCTTTTTTTACGCCTTAAATTCGATTTGTTTTTGATTTTTACATAATATTAATTATTAAAAAGTTCGTTTTTATCCTTTACAAATATATAAAGAGTAATGTAACCGTAACAGACAAATTTAATTTCGAATTATATTCCATTCCAAGAAAGTATTTTGTTTATAAATTATAGCGTATGTTTTTAATACAATCAAAATCGCAAATATTCATATATATTTAATATAAGATAAAAATGTCAAAAATTCACGTTTTTTTTTTAGAGCATAAATTGATATTGAGAAGAAAAATTGTTAAGATATATATTATGTAATCCAATATAATGAATCAAAATTTCAGTAAATTGTTATATAAGGAAATCTGACTATTATTATTTAGTAATTTTATATTAAACAATAAAAGTCTATAATAATTATTATTTATAATAAATTTATAGAATGTATTATATAATAACTTATTTGAATAATTAAATAGAATTATTATGAATAATATTTAAAAATATAAAATATAAAATTGCACCTCATCAATTAAGTTTGCGTAATTTCAAATTAAAATAAAATCGAATATATTATTTAAACATTTATTCCATAGGACATTAATGAAAAAATAAAATGAAATATTGAAATTTTTAATTACATTTTCGATACATCAAAATGAAATCATTTATTTAAACATTAATAATTCCTTAATTTTTTTATAAATATAAGAAAAAATTATCGATTTGGTAAAAATATTTTTAATAAAAGTTAACAAACACGTATTTAAAATAAAGTGTAAAATAAATTTTTAAATAATTCTTTGAAAAAAAATGGAATTGTTTGAATTTTTATGAAATTATAGTTTTAAATTTTATTTGTCGACAGTAATTGTAAAACTTATTGTCATTAACAAATTATATGAACAATAAAGGAATTAATCATATTTAAGAAATATAAATAAATTTTAAAAACATGATCTATGGTTATTTAAGATTTTAAGAATAGGAAGAATAAGTTATCTAAAATTGTAAAATGCAATGAATCATTGATCAAAAAATCAAACTGATAAATCACATTTTTTTATTATACAGAAAATAAAAATAAGCTATATTATATTGCTACATTTAAAATACGAAATTAGTAACTTTGACTAAACAATAATCTTTAAAAAAAAACATTAAATAAATTATATAATGAAAAAAGTGTAAATCGTAAATAAAAATTATATTTATAGTTCTTTTTATATTGAAAACATTTAAAAAATTAAGATCTTATACAGTTGTTCAATCATTTAATGGTGTTTTAACGTATTACTTTATTACTATTTAATTTAATGATTATGTTAAAATTTTAATAATTGTTTACGAATCTTTATGATGTCGAAAATTAAATTTATTGATATTCAATAATTGTGAATAAAACATTAATAAATTCACTAGTAAACGTAAAATATTAACTTTAAATATATATGTGCATGTTTTTTTTTTCTTCACAATGTTCAGAAATCCATAACATGTTTTTAGTAAACAAAATCCGAATTAATAATTTTCTAAGTTTGACTGAAGTTTGATTAAATTCAATAGTAATATAAAAAATTAACTTAACGCCATTAAATTTTTGAATTAATTTAATTTCTTTTATACGATGAACGTATAAAAGCGCTTAATTTACAATTATATACATCATTATGATAAGTTCGGTAAAAGCACTACACCAAGTTGAATATACGAAATAGAAGATCGAGAAACGAATGCTACCACAACTGGAACGTCTTTTGATTCTTGTTGTAATCTTTGTAATTTACTGGAATCCAGATACAGATCCTTTTTTGAACTGTAGTAAAGATTAATTCAGATTAATATTTTATAAAAGTTTCCTTTATTACTTTAAGCCAAGCATCTTAATAAATATTAAAAAAAAAAAAATCTTTTATCAAATCAATAACAATTGTATTTTCAAAAATGCTTACTTAATTATAAACAATCGGCATATTGGTGTTCCTGGGGAAGTTTTCTTGTAGTGCTGATTTACTGGATAAACTTCATAAGAAAGAGAATAATCGATCTTGCGAGATCTGACCGTTCTGTCCGTAGCGGATTTTATAATTCTAAGTCTTTCGTAGACTTCGGATAGATTAGATATGCTACTTTTCGAACAGATAAGTGGACTAATAGACTCTTCGACAACTTGTACCTCACTATTGTCGATTGCAACATCCATTGGCACGGGCTCCTCATCTTCGATTGTTATTGTGCTTTCGTCTCGCCATTTTCTTTTCAATTCGAACCACGAAGAAACCCCTGGACGTTTTAAAAATGACGGTTGGCTCGGTTCATCCAGAGTTGTTCTTTGATAATCGCTGTTATATCTACTGCCTTTGCCTGTTAAGGAAGATTTGACATATTTACATTTAAAAATCAATATAACAAATATAACAAAAGTAAACATCGTATGAATGATAAGTAATTAATAATACCAATATTTATTTCAATATCTTTGAAGTTCATTAAATTGAATATGCAAAAACTATCTTTTAAAATATTTTACCTTTTTGTGCTGTTACTGCTTGTGCTCCGCTACCTCCACCTCTTTTATAATATTGTTCTCTTGGTGAAGGGGTATAAAGATTCATGGGATATGGTTGAAACCTTTGCTGTGTATATAAATAACGAGGATTGAAGATTTGTACATTTTGGCAAATTGTTGTTTGTTGAAACTGTTGCTGCCGAAAGGAACGTACCATATTACCCATTACTTCCATTACAAAGTTCACATAATTACTTTGGTAAACGGTGCCAGAATAAGGGCTATGAATGGCGTTATGTGATATGTTCTGTTGTATAAACGAATCACCATCTCGTTGACACCTCATACCCCTATATGAGTACCCGTTATTCGAACCATATGTTGTTATAGCTTGACACTGGCTTCGTTGAGAGTAAAAATGACTCCCTTGACGATTTTGGAGATTGTTTATCGGGACAACCTGCATATCTGACTTCAACACGCTATCAGCTTCAGAAAGATTTAATAACCTATTACGATCATAGCGATAGAATTCTTTCATTGGTTTAATACCAGAAGGAATATAAGCTCTAGGTATTTCTGCGATTACAGACTCATTTCCAATGTCAGCTAAATTCGGAAGGGTATTTAAAATCTCCATCCGCGACATTGGTCGTGGAATTTCTTCAATTTCGTCATCAGATAATTCGATAATCTGAAAGGAATAAAGTAGTTTTATATATCGTATAAATTAATTAATTTTGGATTGTAAATTACAATGTTTATTTAAATCGTAAAGTATATTAATTATCATTTTAATGAATTAATGAAAAAAACTTGCTTCGGGCCGAGGATTCTTTGAGGAAACAATTTCTGTAGAATTAAAATTTTTATGTGTTTCAGATTTCTTTAGAGAATATCGATCTGCTACCTCAGAATTCGAATTTATTGTATTATTTATTTTATCATTCCTTTTTGGCATTAATTTAACATTACGCTGAATTCGTGATCCAGGCCATTTTGCAACTTGATTTACCGTTGAATTTTTATCCTTTACAAGTATTGTTGTATCTGAAATAACTTCTATTTTTTGAGCTTTTAACAATTTCTCATTTTGCAGTCTATCTACTTTTGATATAGTTATAATTTCATTTTCTTGCTCGCTACTTGTTTTAGATGTAGCGCTCAAATCTATAAAATATGTTTTATTTTATACATAAGTTTTCTATTTTAAAATCAGTGAGTCCCTTACCGCTGCTATTTGAAATTTGTTTGTCTATTGTAGGAGATGTGTTTGGTGTCCATAAACCATCTGGATTCATGATAATTCTTTTTGTTATATTGGATAATTTATTTTCCAATGATGATTTATCTCTAAATCTTTGTAATTTATATCCCCATCTAACTAATTGTGAATATACCCTATATTCATCTTGAGTACACTTAGAATTTTCTGAATTTATTAATACTTCATATGCTTGTTGAATGGAAAGTGGCATTCCATTCCAACTCAGTTCCAAACAATTCTATTATAATAAAATTGATTGTTACTATAAATTAAATCTTATATTATAGATAAATAAAGTGCATCTTATTTTTGTAATAACAAGTATACATTATAAAACATCGATATTGTTTGAAATTTATAAGAGTAATATTAGAATATTATAATATTAAACTTAAAATAAATAACAAACTTATATCGTCTATTTAAACTCCTTATTTATAAATTGAAGAGTAATACTACAAACTAACATTTTTCTTTTCACAAGAAAGGGTGAACAATTTAATTTTTTCAAAGTAATTTAAATTGAAAATATATAATACACTCACCATTTCCAATAAAATTAAAGCTTCCTCCGGTAAGAGGTATAATTGTGATTTATCTTCATAGCCAAAATTTTCCCATTTTTGACCCGATTTCTTTATTACTTTGGCCTTTTGACTACTAGCTAACCATTCGGCTAATGCTAATTGTGATGAACGATCAACTCTCTCTATTCCTAATAGCCTTTTACGATTTTTTAAGCCATTCTCAAGTTGCATACTCTGCAACCATGATCCACTAGGTTCAAAGTATTTTTTACCAGTTTTAGGCAAAGCAATTTCTGATTGATACCAATCATCCCAAGCGACACTTCCTATTCCTTTTACTTGTAAAAGTTGGGAAGCACTGAAAAAATATTTATAATTTAAGACAGCCCTATGAAAAATATTATTTACTTATGAATAATAATAAATTTTAAAATAATAATAAATAAAATAATACTATAAAGGCCTTAGTCACTAATTTCTAACATATTTCATAAACAAAAATAATTAATTATTTTTTTATCTTATCAAACAGGTATATTTATTAATTTTTTAATCATAATCAAGGTCACTATAGAATGATTATACAAAATTATAGGATTATTGGATAAAATTAATATCAGTAATTCTTCAAAAATATTCAGATATGCATGTATAATTAATAACAAGATAAGTCAATCAAATAAATTGTAATGAAAATTTTATAAATATAAAATTTTTTAAAATTATTTATATATGTAATTACATTATGAAATTAAATTTATAAAATTTATTAGAATTTAAGCTGAATTGCTATAAGTACATAAATGAAAAATTATCAAGAAACATAATATTTGATAAAAAATATTGAAAAATTTTGAAATTTCAAAGAATTATTTTGTGATGATTAATCACAACTGAATTAATAGAATATAGTCTTTGCTTAAATTTTCAATTGACATATTTCTCATTAATGTACATATCGAAGTGAAAATCAATAAGATTATTGACACGACACTTTGCCATTTTGATTGACATGGCTAATAAAATGTTGAATTATAATATTCTATATTTGATTGTCACAATTATGTTGTATATAATTGTAATCATATGATTGTTTACAAATTATTTTACAAACATTAAACTACTGTAATTACATCATTAATATTCATACGGTAAACATTTCTATGTAGAAATTTTCATGATGTAGTTGAATTTTACTTAAAGCTAAATTGCCAAGAGTACGTATAAATAACAATAACAAAACAGTAAACCATATTTTGTTTTTAATTTACTGTTTCGTTCTCAAATACAATTAAGGTTAATAAAGATGTTAAGTATTTTCGGTCATTAATTACGAAAAAGTACATACGTCAAAAAGCCGTTGGCACCACTCTCGTCCTCCTCATTCATCATTCTAAATATTTAATCCCTCTATTTGAACAATATTAGGTGGATATCAGTAATAATAAAATTGAATAAAGTACCACATATTGTGTACTCGTTAAACTAAAGTACATACATACGTCTTGTCTTGTCTCTCCTTTGCGGTTCGTATATGCACAATTTTTTCGCACAATGTTGCCAATCCTAAATTTACGTATAAATTTTCTACAAATACTCTTTTAAGTACACAATCAACATTTAATTACATAGGTTATGATTCTTTTAATGTCATCTAAGTATATTTACTTGTAAATTATAAACACAAACACGTAATGAATTATGTTTGTGTGGTGCCGTGTCTTTGAATGTGTATATTTGACAACCCTGTTTTCAATCGTATGTATATCAATGTTGAAAGTCACTACAATAATAGAGTAAACGAGTAATCAGCTGATTGTCTGGTTTGCCTGCGTTGCGAATGATCGCCAACAATCGTAGAAAAGTAAATGTAAAATTATGAGAATAATTAATCACGTTAATAAAATTGCCATAACCGAAGAAACAAAAATATATTCTCATAATGCCAAATTTTTTAAAGTGTAAGAATCCTTCTGTTCTGTGGCAATGGCACAATTTGAACGGAAAAGTGTTGAATTTGAGGACTTTGGAAAATTTCTAATTCAATCAAAAAATTTTTCTAGACAATTTTGTGGAATTTATCAAGCACGATTGGCCTCGTTAAAAGCAAAAGTTTCAGATAGAGCAAAATTAAAATGGAGTGAGTTATTTATTATTAAAGTAATGCTTTTACATATTAAGAAACTTTAATTATATTTTTATTAGGTGAAAAGTAGATTTTTAACTTATGAAAAACAAAATTTATGAAGAATTTATGAAACAAAATATCACATTCTTTAATTAATACAATTAATACAAATTTTCCTGCAGACAACCGTACAATCTTGAGTATTGTTGATTTGACTAAAGATGAATACAAAGAATATCCATGTATTGTAATTGGTACCTTATATAAATACCAAGAATTAAAGCCTTCCATATTGAAAGAAATTGCTAATGAACTTCAAGCTGTACCTCAGCCACCACGACTGCATTATTGTTCGCCTAAAGATATGTTATTCTTGGAAGATGATGTCGCACGTATAAAGTTAGTTGGTGATTTACCTTTAAATGCACTGGTTACTGGACTAGTTTGCGCTATTTATGGTCAAGGACTAAATGATGGATCATTTTTGGTAATTCTGTATATAATTAACTATATATAATTTTATTTACATGTACTTGTGTATAATTGTAAAAATCATCATGAAGAATAAAAAAAAAAAAATGGGAAGTTTATGTTATATAAAAATGGAATGTTTATCTAATATTTAATTTATATTGTAGTATTTCTTCACTTTTTATGTATAAAAAAAAATTCAACAAAATAATAAATCTAATAATTGATTACAGGTGAAAGATTTTTGTTTTCCTGGACCAAGCTTAAAACCATTAACTCAATTACCAAGTACTTCCACAAATGATCATGGTAAGTTATTGTTATTTTTATCTGGATTGGACTTAGTCAATCAAGTCAATAACTTACCCATGGAACTACTAGCAGATTGGATTATTGGTTTCTTAGGAAACGAATCTATTCAAGAGGAAGCAGCTAATATCGTGCGTGTAATCATAGCAGGTGATACGAGTTATTTAATTTTCTAAATAATTGAAAATATTTTATTATTGAAGCTATTACCGTTTGCAGGAAACAGTGTTAGAGGCTCATCAGAAATCTTTACTCGTAAAGGTTATTTTCAAAATAAAAAAAAAGACTGTCAATTTGCTGCAGAAATACATCAAGCCATTTACAAATTGGATTGTTTTCTTAGTAAAATTACAAAATCATGTAGTGTAATTCTATTACCCGGAGAATTTGATCCATCTTGTTATGTGATTCCGCAGCATCCTTTTCATCCTAAAATTTTACCTACAGCTTCAAAGTAGGTTTTAAAAAAATCCATACATAATAGATAAGCAATTAATTGGAATTTTTATTTTCATTCGTACTATGTATAATAATACACTTTTTACACTAAGTTTATTTCACAAACACAAAAAAAAAAACATTGATATTGAATACAAAATAAAAATTATAATTACTTTAGAGGAGGAAACTTATATGGTGCTACTAATCCATGGATTGGTAAAATTGGTTCTCGAATCATTGGTGGATCTAGTGGTCAACCAATATTAGATATAATGAAACTATCAAATATAGAGGATTCTCCTCTAAGTTGCTTAGAAAAAACATTAGAGTGGCAACATTTTGCTCCAACAGCCCCAGATACTTTATCAGAATATCCATTTGATAAATCAGATCCTTTGATCATGAACGAATATCCTAATATTTATTTTGTTGGAAATATGGAAAAATATGAAACGAAACTCGTACAAGGTATATGCATATGTATATATGTATATGTATGTATGTATGTATGCATAAAAAAACATTAAATTTAATATTATGATATGTTTTAATGAATAAGTTAATGCGAATATTATTTACATATGTAAAAAATATTGTATATATATTTATTCAGGTATTGACGGGATTGATGATTCTGAAGGTCGACCAATTAGATTAATATGCATTCCTAAGTTTTCAACAAGTCATACAGCAGTTTTGGTAAACTTGGAGTCATTACATACACAGTCAATTTCTTTTGGTTCTGCGTGATCAAAAATATATTCAATGTATTTTAATTAACACATTATTACTGTATATAATGTTAAGTAAATGATTTATTTATTATGTTTTATGCAATGTAATATTTAGTAAACGAAATAATTGTATTAGATATACTCTATTTTTATTTCTGAATACACATATAGGTTTTTCTTTATCATTTAATATATGTTGTATGCATATGTATATATACATTTTGTTTTCTTTCATGACCAAAACTCGTCAGGTATTTCTCAAATATCACACTTTGTTAAAAGTTGGCTCGTAATTTTACTTTTTGTAAAAATAATATATTCCGATATGCTAATATTCCGAAATCTAAACAAAATTTCTAAAGTAAATTGATAAATTGTACTATTTAAACAATATAGAAATCAGTTAAATCGTATCAGTTTTTATCATGTTTTTGGTAAATTAATAATATAACAGAGTTCCTTGGAAATTGCATGAAATGATTGATACGTTATTCGATTGATTCATTTGCTAAAAGAGAAAAAAAATCAAATCAATAAAATAATACTTTTTCAGAGAGCAAACTCTCAATTGTTATCAAAAATATTGTTTTTAAACAACTCTTGAACTTTTCAAAGTCTTGTACCGAAACTTGAAAGCGAGTCACTGTCCCAAGGGGAATCAACCTCATTACTTATACAGTATCTTGATGGACTTGAAGACCTCGAGCACGTTGGAGTACTGGCATCTACAACAATAATTATGTTTTTCTCGGTTACGGTTTTATTTGATATTATTTATTGCATGGAATTCCATTGTTAAATAATACAAGATCTGACAATTTATTTAAGCAATTCATTCAATGCTCTATTTAATGATGTTCTAATATAAGTACGTTATACTAATGTAATTATTGAAAGATAAAGATACCACTAACTATTAAGTTTTAATCAATGAAGCCAGTTTAAAGAGATAATTCGCAAAGCAAAGGCGTGTGATTTTTACTTGTAGCGTGAGAGTAGCGACTATTAATGCCATGCTCATTGTGAGAAGGTCGATGATGATCTTCGTTCACGTTGGATCCGAGCTGTTGTTGTTCATTTACAGCTTCCTCCTGTCTCATCCTGCAGATGACATCGGTTAGCGCAACAATATAATTCTTTGCGAGAGTTAGTGTCTCGATTTTTGACAATCGACGTTCCTTCGAAATGTGTGGTATTACCTCGCGCAATGACTGCAAAATAAGTTGAATAATATTCAATGTACAACCTGTACAATTGATTTTTTTTTTTTTTTTTTTTTTTTTTTTTTTTTTTTGTTAATCAATGCTGTCCAATGCAGAGGCAATGAGTGAGAAATGGCTTCAAACAATTTTTCGCCAATGTTGTTATTTGTCACAAGCATGATTCTTTTATACAAAATACAAACAATTTAAAATGTAATTGAAGCGTTTTTTTTTTTAACGAGACTACTTCCTACCGCT